TCTGTCTGTCTGTATGTCTGTCTGTCTGTCTGCCTGTCTGTCTGTCTGGCAGAAGCGTGGTGTCTTTCTTCTTAGGAGAACAAGCATGACATGCCTCCAAATATCATGGCATTCAAGACTGGCAGTGTGCTGATGATATGTGCTGGTTGCAAGGTCGGTGAGGAGGTTGCTGCAGGCGACATTGATGACTCGTGGCCAATCACTTCATGACATGACATGACAACCATTGGTAGACGTGCCTCCGACTAAATGATGTTGGCAAAGCTGGTTTGACCAATGGTGATCATAATGTGGTCCCGACAATGGTGGTGTGCCAATGGTCGACTGGCCGTGGTCCCAACAACTGTGCTGGGCTTTAATTAGTTTAAACTAATGCCACTGCCGTGAATGCTGGCTCCAGTTTCTTTGCGACATCTGTGAAGTGGTTCAAACGGCAGGAAATGTTGGTGTCGGTAACGCGTTGGTAACGCCATTGCTCCACGAAATGGCATTGTGCTACGCGTAGAAGGTCTTGAGACACTGAACGACATACCAAACACTGAAAATACAATGTCTCCCGTTGCAAAAATTATCATCCCGCGCGTTCAAGTTGCGTAAATCTGGACAGCCTACGTTGCGACTGTTCTAGTGGCTTTGTCCTGGTGGGACAACCTTTTGTGACTCGTTTTTTACAGACATATTCGATGATACATCAGTCATGCATGTGGGTTCCCACGCCCACGTACATTGCGGAAGGACCCCAATTTGCGACCCCTTTTTTCAAAAGGCGGATGTGCTGTTTATGCATTTCCATTGCTCCCTTGGCAAGGGTCAAAATTGTGTATGTTGAAGTGAAAGTGTTGTCGTGCCCCAGGGGGCCAGCAATTACATACACCCAACATGCAGCCTTGTTGCCTTGGCTCAGGGTGTGATGTCAAGATTAATTCTGAGACAGACGGACAGACGGACAGACGGACAGACGGACAGACGGAGAGACAAACGGACAGACAGACAGACAGACAGACAGGACAGTACAGTACAGTACAGTACAGTACAGTACAGTACAGTACAGTTCAGTACAGTACAGTACAGTACAGTACAGGCCAAGACGGACGAAACTGGAAAGACTCATTCTGCGAATCTGGAAGCGTGCAAGGAGCAAGGTCAGGAGGCAAAGTCCAAAGCAATAGTTGCTTGTTGCCAACAAAGCGCAACCCACATCCCATGAACCACGGTAGCTACGGCTTCAAGAAAAATAGGCAAGAACATCTCCACCAAATACTGGCTCTTTCCGAATCAGCAACACGACATGATACTCTCATCTCATACTTCCAATTAAAATGCAGATTGTGCATGCCCAATGCCCGTGGCCGTGCCTCAATGTGCCAGAACCAAACAATGCTGGCATCAAAGGAGGTTTACTGGTCACTCTGTCTCTGTCGGAAGTACTGGTCTTAAAACGCTGGGCCGAGAACTTCCAGAGCTCTCCCAGGTCAACTCGCCTACGGACAACGGTGAAGCCCAGTTGCCCGTCGCAGCCGCATGCGCCAGCTCAGGCCCTGGAACAACGTCGAGTCAATCGCAAGAATGTGATCGCTGATTCACAAGCCAGCCGCTGTTGAAAAAGGCTTGTCCTAGTTGCTACGTATCGCAACGAAGGGAGCGAGTCCAAACGTGCGTGCGCCTGAGCCTGAGACTAACATAGACAAATCATGCCAGGCGAACCTCGGTCTTCACCTGCCGCACGGGTTCCTCTTCCTCCTGACAGCCCGGCTCCATGCCCCTGCATAACGAGAACCTTTCGTGGGCAAAAACCGTGAGGCATGAAAAAGGTACAGCGCTTGGCATCCTCTCATAGCAAAAAGGGAGCACCATGCAAACCGCAGATTCATTGCGCTCACTACTGAGTCCTCGTCTGAGCTCCATCTCAAAATGCTGGGCAATCGGCAGGTTCTCGCTTTGCCCACCTAAGCAAAAGCCTGCACACCCAATCCAGGACCATCATGGAGTTTTCTCGATAAACTTCATCAATTGGCATGGCCAGCATGGGAATCACTCCCAAGGATCCATTTGCTAGCTCCTGGGCCAGGCCCCAAGCAACTTCGGCCTATGGCCCCTCCCGTTCTTGCCAAGGCTCGGCAAGATCCGCTGCCTTATTCGGGGCAGGCATGGCAAGTGAAAACCCTGTTGCCCTCAGCCCTGCCATGTGAGTCAGTTTGTCTGGAAAGACAAATTCTGCCCTTGGGATTGCCTAGTGCATGACCGATTGCCAAGGTGGCCCTTGCAGGCAACTCAGCCAGGGAACGTCGTGCTCATAATCATCCAACAGCTGATTGCCTGGACATGCGGCAGCCTCCGATCCTTGCAGGGACAAGGAGGTCCACCTAGCTGCTCCATACAGAGCCCAACGCACACAGGCCAATACGCTACGCTGTGTAGCTGCTTGCACTTGGGAGCCGCAAGGAATTCAGTTGTTCTTTTTTTGTTTTTTGGACACGCCTTATAGCCGTTTCAATCATGCCTGGCACTTGCAAGGGCGCTTGCCAATTTGAACAGGCCCTCCTCCAGATAGTGCCGCTGATAGAGTTCCAGGAGTGGTGCACTCGGACCCACATCTGCGTAAATGGTCCGCAAAGTCCCTTGTCGACAGCATATGCAAAGTCTCCTCGCGCAAGTCTGGAAATCGCAAAACAGGCCGGAAGGCTTGCTGCGTTAAAACATGAAGGCATCCTCATGTTGTGTCTTGTTGGCCAAAAACAAGCAGCGTGCCCCATGACCAGCGAGGACACTTTGCTAGGGAAATAGGGGCAGCGCTCTGTAGAACCTCTGTTCCACTGTGCAGCACCTAAAGATGCCTCTTCAAGTCCTTCCATGCCCTGCCTTCGTCAGTGCATTTGCAGCCTGATCCTCTTTTTCCGAACAAGTTCTGCTGAAGGAAGGACCCATTTCCAGCACATCCTCGGGGCACGACATTTGAAGTGCACAAGGCGAAGGACCTTTCCTCGGGGGCTAGGCATGCTTTTTCCAAGCGGCTTGTCTGGCCGTTGGCTTTGAACCTGCCTTACATTCCAAAATCACAGCGAATGCATCACTCTGCGCGCGAGCCGGAATGCTTGCCAGGGAGCTCGGCTTGGAGACGGTGACGAGCTTGTCTTTGACCTAGCCTCGGCATCCCGGCCACAACCTGCCTCGAATGCGAGGCAACCTTGCTTATCAGGAGGGGCAAGTCAAAGGGCCCAGCACAAGACGTAAGCCCGGACGCCGGCAAGTTATGCTTACTAAACCCTCCTCTACTGCTGCTTCGACAGCCTCCGCATTGAGAACGTTGGGCGCGTAGATTTGCTTAGCAAGGTTTATTCGACTGAGTCCAAGTGGCCTTGGGCCGGCAAACGGAGTTGTCCTTGTCCCCTGGCCAGGGCGCCCGTAGCTGCGTCTCGTCGCTGTTGCAACGGGCTCGCCCAACCCTGGGCGGATCAAAGTAGGCTCCAAAAAACCAACCTTTGCGCTGGAAAGCGCCAAAGAACAGACAGTCACGCAGCTGCGGGCCCCCGATTCCATTCCTAACACGCCCTGCGCCTCTCCCCAAACTCAGCCCCACATCCAGCAGGCCCTTTTCACGAACACCACACCCAAAACGACCGCGCCAAGCGCGCTCCAAGGGGCTCCGGCAGGCTCAGCTGCGAGGGCCGGGGGCTGCGCGGGCTCACCGAGGGCACCGAGACCCGCGCGCCCGGCGACACCCGGGGGCTCACGGAGAGCTCGATGCGGCGCAGCTCCTGGAGCGAGGACCTGCGATCCGCAGGTCGCTGGACAGAACCAGCGGGCGAACCGCTGGGCAATGTTAACCCCGGATTAATCAACCCTTGGTTGATTAATGGGGGGGGTGTCCCCTTTTGTGGGGATTCAACACTTTTGGAGAGAACACCCCCCTAATAATGTGACGGGTTTATTAATCCTGGGTCAACATTAGCCTGGTGCCAGGTAAAAAGCTGTGCCTGCAAGGAAAAAGGGCAAAGTGTCAGCTTTTAGAAAGTCTTCAACCGCAAGCACCCTAAGCCCTGCCAAGCCCTGCAGTGCCATGCTTAGACCTGCCTTCCACGAGGATGCGATGCCGGGGGTGCCGTGGGTGGCTTACACTCCTCGGCCACTTCTTTGCCAAGAGCGTGGCACGTCAAGTTCCTTTGATGACCACTTCACTTCCGGAGGAAAGACGGCATCGTTCTTGAGTTCTGAGCTGCGGCCGCATTTGCAACCGTTGGCTTTTAGATACAGGAGTTCCGGAGTTCCCACCACAGAATCATTGCCTGAGGCATGCGACTGACATGAGACAACACAAGCTTCTCCCAGCAGCTTGGAGAGGAACTATCTGAACAGCTAGGGGTTGCTTTGGACATTGGGAAGCCCGTTTTAATGTGGACTAAACACCAGCCAAGGCTCGAAGAACCGGCGGGCCATGAGGGATATCAGGCACCTGAACCCTTCAGCCAGGGAGTTGGACGTGGGGCACAGCTAGGGGCTGGCTGGCTTTGTGCATAGACTGGCCCAATTGCTTTGTTGCCCCTGCAAGCCGAGATCTTTGGCTTCATCCATCAGTTGTCGGTGTGCTTTGCGGCGGCTGCTCTTGCCACAGCGACCGCCTCTTTTTCCCGCTGGCTCTTTGCGCACGAGGGCAGGCGTCTCACCAGCTCAGCTGAGCAAAGCACTGCACATGCCAAACGTCCAAGTGGCCTGGTGCCAAACGTCCAAGTGGCCTGGAGGCATAAGTCCACGGATGGCGCAAAAGCCCAAAGAACATGTCGCCACCAGGACTCTGCAGAGTCTCTTTCCTTTCCTCAATCTTACTTGCTATTGCGCCAACCCTCTACTGGACCCAAGCCCGCCAGCACAAGTCCCAACAGACGTGTGCCTTGAGCCCCAGCTAGCCCCATGGGCGAGGGAAAGCACCCTGCACCTGAGCTTCACTGGGAAAAGGTAAAGGCCAGTTCTCAGCAGACCAAAAGCACTGAGCGGTTCCATGTTTCTGTCGAACAATTTCGCCCATGTAGGCAAAGGTCAGGGCCATGTGCTCCAAACACTTTCTTCTTGGCCAACTGCGATCAGCTACCGACCGACCGTTTGGTAGGCCCGCCCTCGTTTTCGTACTCTCAGACCGGGAAGCTGGTGGTGCTCTCCTCACCTGAAACTCTGACTTTCGGCTTGCGAATGGGATTCACTTCTTGAGAACGTATCGAACTAAAAGTCCTCAATTAGGCGTCTTCTGCTGTGCCCAAAAGGTGAAAGTGAGGAACCGGTCTCTGCGGCAGCTTTCACAAATGATTTTTACTAACGTATGAATCTTGAGAGGAACCCAATAGTCCAATTAGTGGTACTTTGGTGAGTTGGGTTTCAAGACTGCCGCCCACTTTCGCACAGACCACTGGGCATGACCCTCAGCAAGAGTCCAGCATTCTGGTTCATATTCATCGCAGCCAGACTGGGCTGCGAAGAAGATGATTGAAATATATGCTTAGTAAGTGCTGAACTTGACCTCAAGAACCTTCCAAATGAAGAAGATGCAGTCAAGAGGCGTGTTGCCGGCCATATTGGCAGGCCAACGCTAAACTAGAGAAGTATCTTACCCCCTTGACACCCAAATGACGATGACTGTCAACTCCTGCTGGGTTTAGTATCATGTGACCATTCTAAACGACAGTCCGCAAATCAACATACCAGAACTTGACTGCGGCAAAGCCGCGAAGGAAGCTCAGATTTGCAGCCGATTGGTCCTCAGCCCGGCAGGGTGTATCTAGAGAAAGCTCCTGCATGCTCGCGCCAGGTCCACTCCATGACTCAACATCTCAAAGGAAAGGAGCCGGCTGGCACTCCAGCCTTCCTCATCATTGTCGCACTCAGGGAAAAACAACCGACACCTCTGGCTGACTCCTGCCTCAGACTGGGCCACCGGGCACGGTTCCAATCAAAGCGGCCCATGGAGCGAAGCTCCGGCTGCCACACCAGGCATCGCAGGCACCGCGCAGGAAGACACATGCACACGCCTGGGCATTTCGCACCAACCGATCTAGGCCTTTGTTTGTTCAGCCAGCGGGCAGGGCGGATGCAATCGCACAGCGCCCAAAACTGGAAAGCTTGGAATTTACCAGAAAAACACAAGCTTCGGCAAACAACTATTGTTTATCACTCAATTGTTCCATGCTGTTGCACCTGCCTTCGAGTTTTCTGGCCAGGTCAACTTCCGCATCATCCCCATCTTTCACACGATCTTGTATCAATGAGCCGCACAGCTTCAAGGATGCCCGCATGGGAGTAGTCATGTCCGTTCAACTTTGTGTCACGTACAGCAAAGGGACATATTGCCCATCCAAGTCGCAATGACCGGCACATTTCAACCACATCACCAGGCAGGAGAAGAGCTGGAAGCATAAAAGCCTAAAAGCCACCCGCGTGCGCGCACGTGTGACTGCAATCTGGCTTGGGTGCAAGGCATCGTCGAGGCTGGGTGTGTGTGTGTGTGTGTGTGTGTGTGTGGTGTGTGTTATGTGACATGTGTGTTATGTGTGTGTGTGTGTGTGTGCGTGCGGGTTGTGTGCGCTGTGTGTTCTGTGTGTGTGTGTGTTGTGTGTGTGTGTTGTCTGCGTTGTGTGTTGTGTGTGTTGTGTGTCTGTGCTGCTTGTGTGTGTGTGTGTTCTGTGTTTGCGTGCGTGTGTTGTGTCTTGTGTGTGTGTGGTTGTGCTGTGCTGTGCTGTGCTGTGCTGTGCTGTGCTGTGCTGTGCTGTGCTGAGCTGAGCTGAGCTGTGCTGTGCTGTGTTGTGTTGTGTTGTGGTGTGTCGTGTTGTGTTGTGTTGTGTTGTGTTGCGTTGTGTTGTGTTGTGTTGTGTTGTGTTTTGTGTGTGCTGTGTGTGTGTGTGTGCTGTTCGTGATGTGTTGTGTGAGTGTCTGTTGTGTGTGTGTGTTGTGTGTTGTGTGCTTTGTGTGTGTGTGTGTTTTGTGTGTGTGTGTTGTGTGTGTGTTGTGTGGGTGTTGCGTGTGTGTGCAAGTGTTGTGTGTGTGTGGGTGTTGCGTGTGTGGTGTGTGTTTGTGTGTATGTGGTGTGCGTGTGCGTGTGCGTGTGCGTGTGCGTGTGCGTGTGCATGTGCGTGTGCGTGTGCGTGTGCGTGTGCGTGTGCGTGTGCGTGTGCGTGTGCGTGTGGGTGTGGGTGTGGGTGTGGGTGTGGGTGTGTGTGGGTGTGGTATGTGTGGGGTGTGGGTGGTGTGGTGTGTGTGTGTGTGTGGGTGTGGTGTGTGTGTGTGTGGTGTGGGTGCGCATGCGTGTGTGTGTGTGTGTGTGTGCGTGTGTGTTCACATTGCTCGATCAATCTTACGCACCAAGCTTGTCATCCATCACACACAAACTGCGTGCAACAAGCACACTGTATGTCACAAGCCATGAGGCTTTGAAGGACGCAACAAATCATGAAAGCACTGGCTCAAGTCCACACACGTTGGTTTGATTGCAACACCACGTGATGACCATGTGTAAAATTGCAAAAGGCACTTCTCCCTCAAAATAATCTGCGTTCGCAGTCACTCTGCATACTTATTGCTATGACGAACTCGAACCACATCAGCATGAGAAGCGTTGGTCTCCCAACATTGCCATTGTTGAACATGCTTGGCCGACTTTCTGCTTTCAGAATTCAGGCGAGGATTGAAGCAGGCTGCGCAGCCGGATTTATCTGGGCTTCCTAAGCACTGCCTCAACCTTCAAGTAACCTTTCAGCAGAGTCACCATGTCACCAGCTTCCGCAACCACATACAGGTGCAAATGCCCTGCCTAGCACCAAGACAGACGCTTGATGCCATGTACGCTTCACGGCGATGAGTCGCCCACTGCTGTTAGATGGCAAGAAATGGCAAGAAAGTACCATACCACAAACGAGTTCTCACAAAAAGCAGGTAGCATACAACCAGCGGGATGTTGGAATGGCATAGGCCGCCTTTTTAGCGGAATTCCAGCCTCAGGCCCGGTCTTCCAAAAGGGCTGCCCAATCATCAACAAAACATGTGCTGCGCCATTCTGCAAACTAGGATTCGATAATAGCAACATACAATAACACAATGTGAAACAACATGAAACACAATTCACAGGCCACAAACATGCAAGCCCCTTTTTAAGTTTGGCAACAAGCAGACGCTTCGATTACAAGCGACCAGAAACCGAGCAACAAGGCAGCTGCTCCGGCACGTCTCTCAAGTGTTGCAATGATCACCCAAGAGCTGCTCTGGGATGGGTTGTCCCAGACCGTTTCTCCCATCTTGCTGCCCATAGACCGAAGAACTGCCCCGGTTCCCACCTGCAGGCGCATTTCAGGAAGCCTTCGCTGTCCTTATAGGCATCCGACACCACAACGCGGCGCTCTCCAGCTGCAAAAACCTCAGAAAGCCAGGATTGGTGCCTTGCTTTCTAGCAAACAACCGTCTGCTTCCAAGAAGCTGTGGCTGCGTTCAGGTTGATGCCATCTGGATCGCGTGTATCGTAAACCCTGCGTCGCGCGTTGCACCACCAAACTGTTGCAGGTCAACCAAACGGAAATTGAGGGACCTATGCAGCGGGAACCTAGGATTGCTAAGCCCCTGGTTGGCTCATAGCAGGGGTTGCCACTTTGGATAAAATCCCGGAATCCCGAATCCTTCACTTTCATCTGTAAGGAGTGTGAACCCAGGGACTGACATGTGAAAACCACAAGCAGCTGGACAACAAGCAGCCTCTCGCCTTTGCTCCGGCCAAACAACACTTGGCATGCAGGCTGATCGAGGCTGCTTCGACTTGAACGCTCCCTGGCAGCCTTGTTCCATCCAAGCCATTTTGTTGACAACTTGCACCAAATGCTGACCAGGCGCCTCTCTTGTAATTCCTGCGCGCGCACATGGCAGGGCTCCTTGGCACTTTCAGTGGCCCGCATTCCAAAGCCCCTCTCTCTCGCAGGGCGCTCGTCAGGCCATGAAGTGCCCAAGAAGATCCAAGCCGCATTGGTGCCCGGCTGCCATGATGAGCGTCGAGGCGCGCCCAGCCAGGAGACCCGAGACGCGTTCTCCTGCAAAAAGCTCAATTCGGGCCATCAGAGCCCCGCCCCCGCCCCCCCCAAAAAGAAGATGTCCACGTGTCGGTGTGTGGGCCTGGGCCCCAGCTAAGATCCAGGCCTGGATTTGCGGGGCACTGCTCCGTGCACCACCCACTGCACCACCCACCTCAGTGCGTCATGCCTCCCTTGCAAAGTGTTATTGGGAACGAGCGGCAAAACGTGGCAGGAAGGTGCTGGAACCCTGAAGCAGGGCGCGTCACGAATGCAAACACTCGCCCAGGACCAAACGCCTGACCGTGCCATAGGTCCAGCAAACTCGCTTGGCAAAACTTGTTTGGCAATGCTAGCCTTTAGATCCAGGAGGCTGTGGCACCTATCATCAATTCTACCTCAGGAGCAACCAAAGCATCAGGCCTTCTCTGCCGGAATCACGGATTCCAGGATGCCTGCCATGCTGCGTCACTGATTGAATCGCTTGACAATCATGGCACTGGCTATTGTTGTGGCCACAAAGCCGTAGCACATGCGCGCGCACACAATCAAACAAGCAAATGACGCCTGCAAGAGATTTCAAACAGTGTGATGGATTGATGGATTGATGGATTGATGGATTGATGGATGATGGATTGATGGATTGATTGATGATGGATTGATGGGATTGATGGATTGATGGATTGATGGATTGATGGATTGATGGATTGATGGATTGATGGATTGATGGATTGATGGATTGATGGATTGATGGATTCATTGATTGACTGACTGACTGACTGACTGATTGACTGACTGATTGACTGCTGGATGGCTGGATGGCTGGATGGCCGGATGGCTGGATGGGTGGGTGAGATGGGATGGGATGGGATGGGATGGGATGGGATGGGATGGGATGGGATGGGATGGGATGGGATGGGATTGGATGGGATGGGATGGGATGGGGTGGGGTGGGGTGGGATGATCGAGTGACCTGCAGGGCTCTGGCAGCCAACGGAAACAGTCCCTCCCCCATTGCATGGCAGCCTCCGTACACATCATCGCCACCCGACGGTTGCAGTTCAAGGCCCCGACTGCCCACCCCACACAGGCAGTCATCCCGAGTCGGAAACAAGGACCACGGAGCCAGAGGGTAACAAGGAAAGGTCTACAATGTCAAAGGTTCAGTGGAGGATCTTGACACATGGTTCTCGACAGGATCCGTTTGCAAGACCTCTATACGAGGCCCATGGCAGCTTGAGAGGATCTATGGAAGACCTCTTGAAACACATTTGTTCATGGTCGATCACTTCAAAGGGTGTTTACGGAGCGTATGGAAGGTCCTGTGCAAGATCTCCTGAGATGAACCAAGCAGAAGGCACTCACGGGTTCCTGCGCAAGATCTCCTTGCACGATCTCTGACCGCCTGCTTGGCTGGTTGGCTGGTTGGCTGGCTGGCTGGTTGGTTGCTTGTTTGCTTGCTTGCTTGCTTGCTTGCTGGCTTGCTTGCTTGCTTGCTTGCTTGCTTGCTTGCTTGTCTGTCTTGCTTTGTTCCCCACGGGCGTCTACACTAAGGGGTTCTTGCGGTGAGTGCACCCTTTGCGTAGTTTGAGTGTGTGTGTGTGCCAAATCGCCCTCACTGTGGAGCGGTGTAAGTTTGTTTCTAATGTTGAACACTAACCCTTTGCCTACATGGGGGTGTGAATTCGGAAATTGATGATCGAAATCTGCAAAATCCCACTGAAAGACATCTTGTACAGGATCTTGTAAAAGACTCGAAGAGCTGTTGTGCACGAGCTTTGACAGGAGGTCCTGTACAAGGACCCACCATGGATGGACCTTGTGTACAGCTCTTTTACCCATATCTCTTAGGGGATTCCATAGTCCAGAGCATGCTGCCCTTGCTGAAGGCGATCAGAAAACGCCTTGACCAAACCGGATGTGGCTTGCATCTTTCAGCTTTTGTCGGACCCGCCTTCCTGAACTGCTTTGGCCAGCGTGTGCACTGGCACGGCCTTGGAGCCGCAGCCTTTCTCAAACAGCCGCGCCGCCCAAAAGCCTGGCGTCGCGTGCGGCACGCGCAACGCACGCCATGACATCGGAAAGCCGCTTCAGCCGAAGTTGGCCCAGACTTGTGAAGCAGCCCGGCAGTCATGCGACAAGGCTGCAGGATTCCTTGCCACCCTGCCAAAATCACAGTGCTGCAGAGGCTCGTTGGTCCATCAGGAGAATGCCGCTGGTGATGACTGGTATTCCAGCCTGGCAGACCAGTACTGCCAAACAGGAAACGAAGACGGCCATTGAGATAAGACTGCAAGGTCCTCCTACAAACTCCGAAGGCTCGCCACTAAGCCACTTCTACCACCCTTTCTCAGTTTCCCAATCCGGCAAAAGCTCCATCAAAAGTCACGGCGGCCAAGGCGCTCTCAGCGCCTCAGAAGTGACCTGAAGCGTGCAAGAGAGAGACGCCGGCGATCAGGTCTGAAAGTGCCATGCCACCGGGGCGCAAGCGCGCACACACACTTCAATACCCCAAGAATTGGCTTGGTACATTCGTGTACGTCAAGCAAAAAAGGAGAGGAGAGACAGGTTCGACTACATCACTTCGAGTTGGCTTGAGAATGGAACATCAAAAGCAACACATGAGAATTGGAGCCTTTGGTCCTTGTAAAGCAACGGCGCAACACACCAGACAATGTGTCTCTTTTGCAGGTACGTCACTGAGCGCCCCAGTGATATCACCATCACACATCCGGTGTCTTCGTTGGTGCAAGACCGGATGAGCTGCTTGCACCTCCTGCATGAACTGAAAGGTGGTCCCAGGATAGATCTGGGACTCGGCACACACACACACACGCTCTCGCAGGGGCTGAGCCCAACAGACAAGAAACAGAGCAAAAACAAACCAAAACGAAGCGAAAAGGCCCCGAAATGAGTCTCCGCGAACAAAACAACCAAGAAAAAAGAAAAAGGGGAACACCAGTGTAAGGGTCTCCGAGGGCAAGAACCTGAAACAGCGCAAGACCGACCTCTAAACCTGGAAGAAGATGACCACCGCGAAGTTGCAGAGCCGGAAGAGGGCGATCGAGAGAAAGAAGAAGACCAACAAGAAGAAGAAGAAGAAGCCATCCCGCAAAGGGGCCAAGAGCACGTACACCACGAGTCAACGGAAGAGGCAAAAGACGTCAAGCCAAACTGCGGAAAAAAAGAGGAGAGCGCCGGCGTGAGTGAAGGGGGGGGAGCAGGAGTCGACCCGGCCTCGTTTCTGAGGTCACGATGCTGAGGTCACACACCTGAGGTTTATAGAACTGAGGTCACGGTGAAACAACTGAGGTTCCTGAACTCCGCAAAGCGGACCCGAGGCCACACCAGGGGCGCACTCGAGGATCTCCCTTTCGGGGTAGCACACTTCAATACTTGAAGGGGTGGCTTGGTACATTCGCGCACGTCATGCAAGACAGGAGTAGGAGAGACAGGTTCGACTACATCACTTCGAATGGGCTGGAGAACGCAACATGAAAAGCAGCACATCATAATTGGAGCCATTGGTCCTTGTAAAGCAACGGCGCAACACACCAGACAATGGCTCTTTTGCAGGTACGTCACTGAGCATCCCCAGTGGTATCACCAGCACACAATCCGGTGTCTTCGTTGGTGCAAGACCGGATGAGCTGCTTGCACCTCCTGCATGAACTGAAAGGTGGTCCCAGGGTAGATCTGGGACTTGGCACACACACACACACACGCCCCCGCAGGGGCCGAGAGCCCAACAGACAAGAAACAGAGCAAAAACAAATCAAAACGAAGCGAAAAGGCCCCGAATTGGGCCTCCGCGGGCAAAACCCCAGCCAAGAGAAAAAAAAAAACGGGAACACCAGGGCAAGAACCTGAAACAGCGCAAGACCAACCTCTAAACCCGGAAGAAGATGACCGTCGCGAAGTTGCAGAGCCGGAAGAGGCGGAGGCCATCCCTAAGCGGGCGAAGGGCAAGAACAGGGACAAGCAAAAGAAGGGACCCAGGATGTAGCTGTGACGGCAATCGAGAGGAAGAAGAAGACCAACAAGAAGAACAAGAAGCCATCCCGCAAAGAACCAAGAGCACTTACACCACGAGCCAACAGAAGAGGTAGAAGACGTCAAGCCAAACTGCGGAAAAAAAGAGGAGAGCGCCGGCGTGATTGCAGGCAGCACGAAAAAGTCAAGGACGAAGGCGAAGAACTCGAAGACAACGAGGCCATCCCTAAACGGGCCAACAGGAGGAGGACCAGCACGCGGTTGCCGACAAGCGCGGAGAAGGGAACGGGAGGAAAGAGAAGCCGTCCCTAAATGGGCGATGAGCCAGAAGTCGGCCAACAGGAAGACATAGACGATGCACGAAGAGAGGGGGGGGAGCAGGAGTCGACCCGGCCTCGTTGATCTTGTGCGTGAAACATTCCCAAAAGCACCTTCTTATCTCACTGAGGTCATGATGCTGAGGTCACACAACTGAGGTTTATAGAGCTGAGGTCACGGTGAAACAGCTGAGGTTCCTGAACTCCGCAAAGCGGACCCGAGGCCACACCAAGGATGAACTCGAGGATCTCCCTTTCGGGAGAACCCACTTCAATACCCCAAGGGGTGGTTTGGTGCATTCGTGTACGTCATGCAAGAGAGGAGAGGAGAGACAGGTTCGACTACATCACTTCGAGTTGGCTGGAGAACGCAGCATCAAAAGCAACACATCATAATTGGCGCCATTGGTCCTTGTAAAGCAACAGTGCAACACACCAGACAATGTGGCTCTTGTGCAAGTACGTCACTGAACATTCCCAGTGATATCACCAGCACACATCCGGTGTCTTCGTTGGTGCAGACCGGATGAGCTGCTTGCACCCCTGCATGAACTGAAAGGTGGTCCCAGGGTTGTTTGGGGACTCGGCACCCACACACACACACACACACGCACGCACGCACGCACGCACGCACGCACGCACGCACGCACGCACGCACGCACGCACGCACGCACGCAAGAAGGAAAAAGGACAGAAACTAAACAATGCATGAACATATGTGGAGAGAACATTCCTGCAGAGAGGCGTACATACCTGACATGGAATAAGAACCCGCGCACCAAAAGAAGAAAATTGAACGTTAGAAGTCAGGGCAAAATGCATCAACTACACAAAAACCACTGACAAAAAAGAGGCAGCAAAAGTGTACCACCTTGGTACGCCCAAATGATTGGGCTGGATTCCACGAATTGTCAGCAGCTCAAGAACGCAAAGCGCTTGCCAGATCACCGCGACCACGTCCATGAACTACGGGATCAGTTTGCTCGGCACAGCTAGGCTTTCAAGGATAATCGGGATTTCCCTTTAGGCTACATTCTTGAGCAGATCGCTCTGTCGTTTGCGGTGTGCGTTTGCCGTCATCATTCACTGGCTTGGCAAGATTGCCTGTTCCACAATTTGTTCGACGCTACGATGTATACACGAATGCTTCACAATATGTGCGCCTGCTCCTCGCAAGCAGACTCTTCCGACCAGCTCATCACCATCAACGATTTGAAAAAGCCCTTCACGTCAATTGACTCTCACCGGCTCCTGCTTCGATTTTCTAGGACTCACCATCGACTACTGGTCAACGAGCGACTGTTGCAACGCCATGCTACGTCCCAGCTTGATCTAAATGCCTTCACCTCCAGGGAACACGTCGTGAGCAAGCGTACTTGCCAAAAAATTGAACGAGATCGCGAACCTTCGCCCTCCACAGCTCTGGCACCTGCAAGAGGCATCACGCCATGCGAAAAGAACATTAGACCGTGCACGGTTCGCAATGTCGCTTGGCAATGTCACTCGCAGAACTCCGGACGCCTACGGACACGCCTGTCTTTTACGTGCACTGGTGCAGCTTTTAACGTGTCATTCGTGCATTCATTCACACATCTACGTCTTGTCACGCATTGAAGTCTGGATTTGTTGGATGGGGACCTTGGCCCAACTCAAGGTACGGCGTCCTCCTTGCAACGGGTGCATCCAATTAGCTGAGCACGCCATGATCAAGGTCACGCCACACCATGTCGCGGCGTGACACGTTCCCATTCCTTGATACAACCCGTCATGGATGACCGGTGTCTAAGTGACACATTATACTTGCGCGGCAGGATCAGCTGCGACAATCTCAAAGGGTGCGACGAGGCATTCTGGCCCACAGACACCGCACTTCAACGGTGTCAAGGTTCCAGTTGCGCCAGGCGCGCACGATGGCAAATGCGAAACGACAAGATAGGCGACGCGGACGGAGCAGCCATGAAACCCAGGAGGGCGCATGGCGGCAGGGGCAGTGGTCTGAAGCACTTGCAGGGCAAGCCAAATCCGAAGGTGCCTGGACGAGGAGCGGGTAGAAGGGAAACCGGCACAGGGTTCAAGAAACTGCTGGAGACACTAGACACTCCAGAGATCCCCAACAACAAAAGCAAGCATGGACACAAGTCACAAGACCTGAGCCCAAAAACCTGACGAAACCTGAACTTGAACGCAGAAGGGCGCTGTCTTCAAAGGGCTTGCGGTGAGACGTGCACACACACACACACACACACACACACACACACACAGAGACAGAGAGAGAGAGAGAGAGAGAGAGAGAGAGAGAGAGCACGCACGCACGCACGCACGCATGCGGAAGTGGAGACAAAAGAAAGAGAAAGTGAAAGAGAAAGAGAAAGAGAAACAGAACACGCAAGAGAAAAAGAGAGCGAAAAAGAGAGCGAAAGAGAGAGAGAGAGAGAGAGAGAGAGAGAGAGAGGGAGGGAGGGAGGGAGGGAGGGAGGGAGGGAGGGAGGGAGGGAGGGAGGGAGGGGAGGGAGGGGAGGGAGGGAGGGAGGGAGGGAGCGAGGGAGAGAGGGAGAGAGGGAGAGAGGGAGAGAGGGAGAGAGGGAGAGAGGGAGGGAGATAGGGAGCAAACACGCACACATGAATTACGCTGCATGCATGCACACATGGATCTAGCAAGTGCATGTTGACTGAAGTGAAATCAATGGTGCCCTCTTTGTTTTCCTCCCAACGCGAATTTCACTGAGGCCGCAGACCCCAAGGCCACCATGGAGGATCGCCACATCCACCTTGGGGAAGAGCTGGCTAAAGGGCACGGGGCCGTCCACCACCATCAGCCTCACGAGAGGCCTCCCCAAAGTGCCAGCTGGAACGCAATGAGACTGCTTGAAAGGCATGAGCTCAGGTGCCAAAGGAGACTTTAAATTGTTTGTGGGTCTCCAGTCTCTCGCCCGGGGGTTTGTTTCTTCGCTCCGGTTCAAATCTACGTGGCCTTGCTCGCTCTTTGCCAGACCCCCTCACCAATTCCAACACTTGCCAGACCAAGGCTCTTCACATGCTGCGACTGTTGTTTAACGACATTCTGCAAGCCTTGCCTCAGAGGACGCATGTCCCATTCGCAAATGCCATCGCGAAGCAGCCCGTCAGGTTGCAGGCACGAAAGAATACACAAATGCAGCCAGGCAGCAAGCCCTCTTTTTGAAGTTCCCTGAGGCGAACATGAGCCAGTCTCCCCATCCCCATTTCTGGTGAAAAAACTGGAGCCGCAACAATCCCAGGCCAAGCACGTTTATCATTGTGCTTTACTCGCTTCCGGGTCATGGCACAATGTGCCTTCAAGCATGCAATGGTTGCACTGGTTGGGTTATCAAGCTAGCTGGCCTCCTTATGACATCTCCCCCTTGTGCGGCGCCCCTCCCTCCCAAACCGGTCAGGTCGCTTCATGGTCTTGCTCAGTGGTGGCCCCTGCCAGGGTCGAAACAGCACAGAATCCGTGTCTCGCTGCCTGCTCGACGCCAAATGCGCAGACATGTTTGGGAGAAATTCCGAACGGCAAAGGAGCAAAGAGGGGGAGCAACAGCCTTGACGGGTATTGGCCTCTGTGGACAGTGACAAGATGACTCACCCGTCTCATCTTTCAGCTGCCTTCCTGAACGGTCACTGCCCCTTCTCTCCAGCCTCTGGCTGCCCGGCTGCCAGCACAATGCAGGCCACGCCATGCTGAGCCACCTCCTCCTGAGTGAGCCCAACCTGCCCTCAAGGAAAGGTTCCATGCACCCTTTTAAAACATTAGCAAACAACTGCCCCTGCGAACTGCCTGCTTCACAGCGTCCACTGCATGTGCACTGCATGTGAATGGCATGTGCACTGCATGTGAATTGCATGTGAATTGCATGTGCACTCGATGTGTGGGATGGTGAGTCGACTCGTGTTGTCGCAAGGATAGGCTGCAGAGCGCAGGTCGTCTCTACGATTTGGAAAAAACAGTGCCCAAGGCTATCTCAAATGAGCCGAACCCCCCCCCCCCCACCAAAAAAAAAGGGAGCCGAATCCTATGGCGGGGACACAGCCCCATCTGGGTGTGCCTTTCTTTCAGGGTACCACGTTTTGCTCAGCCAAAGCAGCCAAGGAAACGCTGGCTAACCTGAGTCTGCAACGCTGCCTTGATTTTAATAGGGGAAACCCCCCAAGCACCATGTGCAATATGTATGAGCGCCAGGGAGCACCAATGCTGAGCATCTTTGCTTTCCTGCCACGACACTTCCCTTCATGAGCAAAGGGCACATGGTCGTGACCCGCAACGAAAGCTCTCCAACCACACGGCTTGTGGTGAACCTGGCAGCAAGTCACGCCCAGCGGCCCCACTGGCATGGAGGAGAAGGTCATGGCCAAAACAGATCTCCCTTTGTCTTTTGCTTGCCTGGGCTGGCGAGTCAGGTACAGGAAGCACGCACATCTCAACATAGAACACTGCCATCTTGGGTCTGCGAAACCAGTAAATGGACAGCCGTTGGGATCTCTCTGCAATTCAGCCACCATGTAATAAAACACGGCAAATCAGGCCGAACCCATGCTTAGTATAGGAGCACCTGCTCCCTATGAGTTTTCACAGCAGCATCCGTAGCCCTCAGGCCAGGAATCGTTTTGTTTCTACTATTATTTTGTTGGCTCGAGGGGGGGGAGTTGTCGAAAGCCCAACACGGCATCACATTGGCCAGAAGAAACACAGGCTGGCCACTGCAAGCCGGCCGCGACAACAGCGCAAACGCTCTTGACAAGGCACTGGATGAAGGCGGACACTTCACCTCAGAAGCTAGTTCGCACTGTGCAATCACATGATGGGTATGTTCTTGGTGTGTGATTTTCTGAGGTCTGTCAATCAGGCTCCATCATTCGATGTCTGCCTCATCCTCCGGCCCGGCGCGGCCCTTTCAAAAACTGGTTTGGGCTCAAAGCGTCTGCGTGAGGCCACCAGGGAAACCTGCAACTCGCTTGGCACCGCCCTTCTGGGAGCAGTGAGCCAACTGAAGAAACAACAAAAGGAACATCCAGTGGGCCGACTGGCCCAACTGGCCCGACTGGCCTGCTGACCCTCAGCGCGCACGTGCGGCCTTTGCGGCTCAGGCGCCAAGCAAAGCCACCGCCTGTTCCGACGGCCGCTCATCAAGAAAGATGAAGTTCGTGAGCTGCAAGCCCTGGACCGTTTCAAACAGGCTTGCTCACTTTGCCACTCGAACCCGGAAAGTTCAAGGACTTCCTTGTCTCGATGGTCCTCCCTCTGCGTCCGAATCTGGTCCAGCCCTGCTGCCTAGCTCTTTGACAGGGTCGCGCAGCGTAAGCCATACACAACCTGCGCAAACCTACAAGCGCACATCAGCGTATGAACGAATGATATTGAGTGCGGGCTGCATGCACGAAGCACGGAGAGCAGTCTCCTGCTCATCTTTTGGGCGGCCCGACACAGGGTCAAAAGCAACTGCCGGCCCACCTGTTCTTTTCATCTCCAATGATTCAAACTTCTTCTCAGGTGTGTTTCCTGTTTTTTTTTTTGTTTTTTTTTTTTTTTTGTGGCGTTCCCTTCCCCGGATATCTTCCTTGAAATTCTCTCGAGGCGGGCCCTGCCTGCGCCTCCATCTCCTCCACCTGCTTTGGCTCCATCCGGCTCATTCCAACAAGCTGCACAGGCACACGCCCTTCGTCAATGTGGGTTCTTCATGGATGTGTTTGGCAAGTCCCTTTCCTGAGTCCAAGACTCTGTTCATTGCGCAGGAGACTGCATGACAAGAAAAAAAAGCGCCACCGACACGAAGCCCTCACTCGCCTGGGAGTCCTGCAGAAGCTCCCGAGAGATCGGCACCACCCGCGGGACGCCCTGCCGGAGCAGCTCCTGGCTCTGTCGATCCTCCGTGTCGATGTTCGCCTGAAGTCGGCCAGGCGAGCGGACGGCGGACATCCATTTCTTCTGGCTGATGGCATCTGGTTGAGAGCATTCGGAAACGAAATGAACCAACCTCATTCACCCCTGACCATACACGGCCTATCCTGCGACCAAACGTGGAACACCCGCTCCAGGCGCCCGGTGGCCCTGGAGTTCCGAGTTCCCAGTTCCGAGGCGCTGGGCATGGGGCAAGGGCCCGGGACCGGCGCAGGGAGTTCAGAGTGTTCGACGAGGGCAGGCGCTCCATGGTTTGCTGCAGGAAGGCCTGGAACCTTCAACACCCCAAAGGCCCGCCTACCGCCCACAAATCAAACGCGCGGGAGATTCTTGCAGTCCATCTGCCGTCTGTTGCTCACCCCTCGAGTCCAGTGTGTGGTCAAATGCCTGCCAGACTACTTGGCCTCCCAAGCAAAAGAGTGCCACTTCCCATTTCACGCGTCAGGCACTGGTGAGGCTGCCAGCAAGCGGCTCCACGCCGGTGAGGACGTTCGACAACGGAGCCATTGCATCACCAATCACGCCTCAATGACTCAATCGTCAGGGCGAGGAGCGTGCTTCAAACTATGGTTCCATTCAAACAGGCCAACCCGGGGAGTGGAAGTTCGCATCCCGACTCATTGTGTTGCTTGCGGTTGCTTTTGGCACTGGGAAAGGTCGTCGCAGTATCTCAGCCAAATTGGGTCTCTCCATTTTGCAGTGCCCTCTTGAAGCAATCCCGGTGGAATCCAATCCCTCCCTGACCGTGGCAAGCCACGAGAGGAATATTCCATGCGTTCGATCCCTCGCGCAGGCTGCAGCACGAATCCCACCAGAGGGATGCCTCAGGCATGGGAAAGAGCAAGGCCCTGGCCCCTCACTCAGAAAAGGGGATTACCCCCCGCCAGAAGAGGTCGCATATGAATTAGGCACTCAACTCAGCGCAAATGCATCATAGCAACAATAGTCGTGTTATGGCAGCAACCTTGCCGTATCAATTTAACCACTTCTGGGGAAGGCTAACGCTGCAAAAACTTCCTGAGCAGCTGCCACTGGCCCCCCAAAGAAAAGCAACACCTCAGAGTTGCGTGGCCATGCCAAGCGACGCAAGGACTCAGAGACGATCATGGCAATGTGGGTCATGGTGAAGCCAAAAACGATGAAATCCGGCCTCTCCGTCTTGGCCCAGTGATATACGCAGCCTGACAAGTATTTGGGTGTGGGTCAAAAAGAGGTAACCGATATGGAACCCCGGTGAATGGAACCAAGGACTAAAACCTGCGGTCCCCCGGTGGTTCAATTTTGACCCATACCCACAAGTGGTTGGCGAGACTCATGCTCACCCTGCCTTCGCTGGGGAAGAACTCCACCTCGCTGCGGGAGAGCATCAGGGCTTGCAGGGCATCGCTGTGCTGGCCAAGGGTCATCGCCTTGGCATTGCAATCTCCTAAGCATTTGAGTGAAATTGAACCGTTGAACCCAAGAGTTGGGTGTCCAGGGCCTCAAAAGTTGCAACCACATGCTCGGGCCTGTCTTCCGGCGTTGGGGCGGCTTCCGCAAAATGCGGCTGTCGTGCAAAATTCAAAGGGCATTCGCCCAAAGCATCCCTGAGCGTATAGCAGTTCAGGCTTGCCAGTGAGCCTTTCGAGCCCAGCTGCAAGACGCGCGGTGCGGGTTTTGACCTTCAGCGTGGTGTCACCTTGCGGCAGAGGGCATGTCACAGGCGACTGCAAGATCCAGAACCGTGAGACGAAGAATTCGGACGTCGTCACTGCAAGCTTCTTGCAACAGTCATTGTCAATCGCCAAGGTGTTTATAGCCATCCCTGTGTGCATGAACGTGCCACTTGACAGGGGCCATGAAAGCAATGGCCGAAGCCCGACGTCGCACCTCCCGAGGGTCGAAAGCGAAGACGAATCGGCAGGTCCTCGCCTAGGGTGGATGAGAGTCGCGCCAAGCGCGCAAAGGCGCAACAAAAACGGTGAGCAAGCGATGCATGAGTCGGTGAGTGTGAATATGCATCACTCGTAAATAACGGAAACCAAAGAAGAAAAATCCTCATCATGGCATGCGGTCCGCCCCAAAAGTGTTCACCAGCACGATTTTGTTTAGTCGGTGAGGGCGATTCATCCATGGCCTGAAGGACATCAAGACCATCGATTTGAGGCGCCTATGGTGATTGAATCTTTGGGGTCACGGTGCACGTGCCCGCAGATCGCAGGAGCTTAGGCAAAGAGGCCGTTCTTCTTGACAAACTCCTTGCACCGCAGCTCAGTCACGATCACCACCTTGCAAGCGCTACATCACGAGTCAAGAAAAATATGTCCCCAAATAAGCCTGTCTGCTTTCCAACCCAGCCCCACCCAAATACCAAATCAAACACAGACTCCCGAATGCAAAAACAGCCCTTAGCTGAGAAGCAGGAGCAAGGCAGCAACACTATCAGGAAGAGCAAGTACACGCATATCCATTTGAAGGCCGTTTGCCCGAAAATCACAACTTGAACTGGCTTAGACCTCACAAGCCATGCAGGCCAGGCTTGCCCTGCCTCACAGCCGTGGTTGAGCACCAGGCCCCTTGCCAGGGCCACAAAGGGCTGCACGTCCCCCCGGGTGCCCCGAGTGATGAGCATCACCTCCGGATCCGAGTGGGGAAAATGTCTGTGGTGCTTCGTCTGCATGATGCTGGCTGTGTGGGATGAAGCATGCGATCAAACACGGCTGCAATCGAACCCCACCATCCATCGCACAGTTGTTTTTTTCTTCTTCCTCTTGAGCTGAGATGCCAACGTTCCGCAACAGCTGCCCCCTTGCGCGCCTTCTTGCGTGGTGTTGCCTCATCTCTGTTGCTGCTTGGGCAGCCAGCCGTCTGCGGCTCCTTGGGCCCAGTGAGGCAATATCAAGACAAACACCCGAAGCCATTCCTCCAATGGACTCTCGGCTCTTTCAGGGACCACGGGCAAACATAACAACATAGCGCAAGAAGTAGTAGCTCGACAGGCAAAGGACTGCCCATCATTGGCAGCATGCTATGCCAAGGCACGGGCTCGCTCGCAAACGGCGAGCGGCTCACTTCCAAATGCAGAAACGCAGGAGGGCGCACATCCTCTGGCGCTGTACCCTCTGGGGAGTTGCCATATACGGCCTCCCGTCAAACAAGTGCCAAGGCAGATGCAAAGAACTTTCAATCCCAGCTCTGTGTGAAACGCGTACTTGGCTGAGGTCACATCAATTAAGCACCCTGGTGCCCCACACAACGAAGATCAGCGCCTCCATGTTGTCCTTACACTGCTGCAGTTTGGGGGGAAGACTCGCCTCACACATCAAAATGACTCGCACTGACTGCAACCACTCGCGACAGTCGACAATCGTGGTATGCATTCTCTTTAGCATCTTCAGGGTTCCATGTGTGACAGGCAATGCAAATATTTGTCCGCCAACGAGTTCTGTCTGACTTGAGGAGAGGGCGGACCTACAGCTGAGACCTGATTGCTTTGGGAATGTCCTCTTCACAGCACTTTGTTAACCTTGCCACCCCCTGCCCCCGTAGATACACACTTCTGGCCAAAAAAAAACAAGGCCGGCATTCAGGAAAACTCAACGCAGGCCTCCGAAAAAGCCATTGAATTGACAATGGAAATCAAGACCTGGTAGAACTTAGGCAAAGGGACCGCTCTGGTCGCCGCTATCTGAAGTGCCGAGTCTACCTTTGCACGGGCAAACCTGGCCTGTCAGGCCAAATAAGTAAGCCGTACTGACAGTATCAAAGGCCCAAAAAACAAGGCAACGCCCTCTGAGAGCCAAGCAGTTTCCAGCATGACCATCACAAACGGACTTTGGCACCTAACGGCCGCAACCAGTTTGTTAGGGGAGTAAGGGACAACAGGCACATTTCCACTCTCGCTCACAATCTTGCCTAACTTCCGCAACTGCGTCTGGATCTTTCCGAAAGAACACCGCGATGAGGGAAACGATGACTCCAACTGTTCGCGGCCAGGGCTCAGTGTGGCTGAGCAGCAGCTCCCACCGCGGCTTGTGGGCCAAATCCGACACCGGGACATCCGCAAAGGCCCAGGGCACCGCGGAGACCAGGGAATCGGAATCGTCCAGGATCTCGAACCTGCGCCGATTGCTAAACGTTCTGCATAAAGCATCCACCACCCACCGCCTTCGGCCAAGCCCTGCCTTCTTGCCCTGTGTTTTTCGCCATGCAATCCGAACGCTGCATGAACCAGCAAGATCCTCTGAGCCTAAAGGATGGCACTCTCATGAGCCCGCCTCAGCTTGGCCTCCAAATCTGTAGGCATTGCTCGCCGGTCCTGTGCACATTTTACACAGCCTGCAGTGCTCAAGACCCTGGGTACAGCCTTTTGCTGGACATACGTCTGAAAACTGAAACAAAACATGATTATGACTCGTTCTTCTACTTTTTGTTTTTCCAAAGGGGGCGAGAGGTATGAGTTCATAGCTAAGGACTTTGGTGCATAGATCCATTGATACGTGCCCTGCCGAAACAAACAAAGGAAACCTCCTCGAGGTTCATACCTACGTGTGGCTTTCTTGCCATTGTTTGCCACACGCCGCAGCCCTGAAGTTTGGAAATGGTGATTGAGCTCAAACCACCGTGCAAGTTCTTTGATGGTGGATCCACAACGCATGGCGCGCAACATGTCAGTTGGAATCATTCAAGCCCCGCAGCAAGACTCATGACTTCCGCAAGCAGCTCTTGCTATGCCTGGAAGGTCACGACGCCAGTACTGCCGTTATGCTCGCCACCTGCGGTCTCTGTTCGCTCGCTCTTGGCTGTGCACCAGTTGTTGCATAATCTGCCCCACTTTGAGAAGGGGCAGGCTCGAGATCAAAGGCTCCTTGAAAGCGGCCCTGCCCGCGCAACGGGGCCTGCTACGGCCACCCCGCAGCCCCGCCTTTGATTTGCCATACCGCAGGATAAAGGTCGCCTGCCTGAAAGGCAAGGCCATGCCCCGGCTCATGCAACATAGCTTTGGAAGAAGCTTCGGAGTTTTCTCTCTCCAGTCTAAAGATCATGTAATGTCCTTCCTGTCGAGGACGGGTCACTTTGCAAGTGAAAATTCAAAATCAAATGCTCAAAAACTTTGTCATGCGAACAGCCGACAAGAGCTTCCATACATCCGCCGCAGGTTGCTTTCTTCCAGAAAAGTTTTGTGCTGTATGCTGCCGGAGACCCCAACATCCATGGTGTGTTTCTTGTTTTGCCCGTTTGTTCGGTTTTGAGTATCCTCATCTTCTGTTGTTTCCGCAGCATGGTTGGGCAGCTGGCAGAGCAAGCTGAATCCCCAACAAGACCTGGCCAAGTTTCTGTCACATGAGAGCTCTCTAATCCTTTTTTCACTTGCTTGTAGCCTGTGCAGGATCAGCTAGTGCCTAGTGCAGCCAAGCGGGCATCTCCGCATCGCGTCTCAGAAACTTGCAGGAAAACTCCGCGGGTTGACCTTGGTAGTTGCAGGCAGCGCGAGCGAAGCAGCCATTCTCTCGCCAGTTGTCAGCCAAACAGGGGTCCTCTTTGTCGTGCCCAAGCCCCCCCGCCTACAGTTTCAAGCCACTGAAATACGCCGTCACAGCATCCGTGGCACTGGATGGTGGGCTGATGCAATCCAAGGACAACGGCGAATCAATACCGCTATCCTCCTCCCACATACCTCAGGCCTAGCAAATCGCTCCTTTGAGCGACTTGGCTCCGACATCCCAAGCAGATTGACCGCAGCAAGCGGGGAAGGGGCAATGGTGATGCACAGCAATAATCGCCACAGCCGCCGACGACAAGCAAGAATGATGCTTTTGCAGGTAGCCTCATCTTTCATGATTTACAAAAAATGACTTGTATCTCTTGTGGTAACGCTCAGCGAACGTTTTCCATGGTTCCGCCACGCTGCGAGCGGAACTAAAGAGTCTAATTGACTCAAGGGCGCCGCTAAGCCAATGGCCGCGAAAGGCAAATGCATTGGGGACCCAAAGAAGAAACACCGCAAAACTCACACTGAAGTGTTTTCTTTTGCCTTTCGTGGGGCTTCGTGTCAACCAACGTTACGGTGGGCTGTCTTAGCCATTCCCGAAAGCTGGCTTGTAGAACGGCGTCTACTTTAGTGAGCCCATCAGCCCACATCAAGCCTGTCGGCACCCAACGAACTTGTTGTTCGCCTATGTGGTCTTGAATTGACCGCACGGCAATCAGAGTCCGTTTCTCAGAAAGGCTCGGATTCCCAGCTATCACTGCATCATACAGCGACTTGCAATCTGTCGCTTGAAACTGCCTCAGGTGAGCTCCAGGTTGCTGGCCATCGAACAGCACCTCGCTCAGGAAGTAATTAGCGTAGACCATCCTGTCCACGCACTGGTCCATGCTGTTCGCCTCCGATGCGAGCGTCGACCGCGTGACTCGCGGTGACCGCGCGCTTTGCCAATCCAGAACGGAAGCCATCGTGGTCCGTTCCAAGCAGTCCGGGATGGTGATGACCACCACCACTCCCATTTGGGACTTGTGTCCCTCCGCGTTGGCCCAGCTGGAATCCCCGAAGCCCACGAGCGTCGTAGCTCGGTTCAGCGGGATGCCTTGGAAGGTGAAGCCATCCGTCATGGTCTCCTTGGCCACCTTGATGCCCTCCAGAACGTCCCGAAGGTTGGTCGGCTTGGCTGCCTTTGTTGCTCAGGCTGGTGAGGGCACAAAGGTCTGGTCGGGATTGTCCTCCAAGCCACTGACACGCTCTTGAACTCTCTTGATGCTGCCGCATTCCATCTCCTGGATGAACTCCGTCTGGGTCACCTTAATGACGTCCTTGCCGTTGACGGTGTCCAAGGAGATCTGCTTTCCTCTAAAGGTGAGAGGTTTGCCCTTCTCCAAGTAGGCCTTGTTGCCCCAAGTGAACATGCCCAGGAGCTCGTCCATGTTGTAGTCCTTGCGGAAAGCGACCAAAAAGTCGTCCACGTGCACTATCAGTATGACTTGTAGATAGCCACGTGAGCACCGCTTGTAGAAGCACATGTGATCCAACCGGTGCGTCAAGAACTGCGCCACAGTGAGGGTTCGCACCACATGCTTGATCCATGTCTTTGGTGCCGAAGCAAATCCATAAAGATTTCCTTCGATGGAGTACAGCCGGTGAGGAAATGACTTTGCCCTCCTCTGCAGCTCATCACGGGGCGGTCTCAAAAACAGCGGAAGCTCCCGTGCATCAGGTTCGCCCTGCAGAAAGGCCGTAGCCACATCTCCTCCCCATAGGCCCCACTCCATGCCCGTCAACTCCACCTGTCGACAAAGTCCAGAAGCCGCCACCTGGATCACCGTCAGCTCCGCAAACTTTGGTGGGAGTCGGAGATGATCGGTCGAGCTGGGAGAGGTCGGGGCCCAGGCAGCCAAGTCCGGCATTTCGCTGCCACACTTGGTCCGGCCCCGCGGTTTTTATCCCTGTACGCGTTGCGCGAGGGGATCACCCGGCGCCTCAGCGTTGGACACTTCAGCACCTCGTCCGCCTCCTTGTCATCCAGGGGCGTGATGGTGCCCCAGCTCCGCCATGACTCGTACTCTTTGCGGTTGGCCTTCACGTTGGTGGCGTCTCCTCTCATCATGGTTCTCCAGGGTATCTCCCTGTCCAAGGCCTTCCGCTCTTTCCGTGTCATCTTGGCCACCGTAGGTTCCTGGTTGCCGTCGTCGGAGCTGTCGGACGTCTCGATGTCCTTTTCCACGGTCGCGGCCAAAGCTCTGAACCAGCTCGATGGGGGGCCAACCTTGTGCTCAGGGTTACCGTCCCATCGTTCAGGTGGAAGGTAGTCTCATGCCAAGTGGTGATGAGCGTGGTCCATGGCCGGTTGTGCTTGGTCATGCGCCTGCGCTTGTCGTGTTTGTGGCTGCGTGCCTGTGTTGCTTATGCTGTGCTGCCAGTGCGGCGTGCTCTGGAGTTGCTGGTGCTTGCTGCAGCAGTGGTGTCGTGTTCCCACTTGAGATTGTCCGTGGGGTGCCGTTTGACATGCCGTCAGGTGTCGTCACTTGCATGTCTCCGGCAAGTGGGATGCTTGAGTGCCCGTCGTCTGTCATGGCTGTGGGAATGCTGCCCTCTGGTTGCGGCAGTGCGCCCATCTGCTGCTGCTCGAGAGGCCTGCCGGCTAGGGAGTGTTGCTGCGATGGCTGTGATCGTGGTGATCTTGACCGCCGCCTGATGGCTGATGATGTTGCTCCCTGTGGCAAGTGATAATGCCTCTCTATGTGGTGCTGGTGGAGCGTCGGTGAAAACACCTGTTGTTGCTGAATGACGTTCGTCGTCTCTTCAACTTGCTGCATTGCAACTTGTGGTAGTTGTGGTGGTGGTACAGCTGCTGATGCTAATGCTGGTGGTGCTTGGGGTACCTGAAGTGCTTGTGGTGCGTGAGGTAGTTCAACTGGAGGTGGAGCCAAGAAAGGTTGCGTAGTCTCTTCAATCCCCATCGCATCGATCTCTAAGTCGAGATTCTCATCCTCTCCAGGTCCGGGTCCACGCTCGTCGGTCCAACATGCAGACGACCCCCAACACCGCGTGATTGGTGCCCGAAAGGTCGCGGATGTAAACCAAATCTGCTTGAAGTCGCTCAGCAAACTGCCCCTGGAAGGTTGGAAGAGCTGCTGGTCGTGGTTGCAGGTGCTTTGCCGTTCTCTCACAGCTCCCGCATTTGATGTGTTCCAAGGCCGTGACCACCGGCAGGTTCAGCGCTCCATGGGCAGCAAGCAACCGTTTGAGTTCCTGCTTGCTCGGGTGCCCAGCGTTGACATGAAGCCTGGCCACTGACGCCCTCACCTCCTTGCTGACGTTCAAAGGGATCCCGGGGAAGGTGATGTCCGTCCTAAGTCCCACCACCGGTAGAAGAGGATCTTCTGGCGCTGGTTGTCCTTGAGGAGGAGCATCTTCCTCGGTGAACCCGTAGAAGAAGATTGCGGCCGAGATGGGGTTCTCAAAGCGGGCCTTAGGAAACTGCACTTGTCGCACGTCCTCCACCTCTATCATCATTTTGCCATCCGAGAGGAGGAGGACCGCCCCGCGATGAGAGTAGTTGATGTCTCTCGGCAGCCGTCTCGCCATAGGAGTCACCGCGACCTGCACCCTTGTAAGCTCCCAGGGTATGAGGCGCGAGATCTTCTTGAAGAGCTCCGTGCCCTGCTCCAAGTTCATAGCCTTGGTCGTACTTTTCATAAAGATCTTCCTCACCTCCTCCAGGATCTGACCCCATGCCGTGAAGTCCTCCACCGGTTCTGCGACCATCACCTCGTGGGTGTCGAAGCGAGTAGGTGCTCTCCTCCGTGCCTCGGCCTGGAGCCCCTTCATAATTGCGTCGACTAACTTGTCCGGGTAGACCTGCGAAAAGGTGACGTTCTTGCCCTCGAGGGGTCGGCATTCCTGCCGTTCGGCTTGGTTGAGTCGCTTGTCACCCGGTCGGCGATGTCCTGGCTGTTGGTGAGGAATCGGTAGGTCTTGATGATGTCATAGCCATCAAGATCCTTCCCGCCGAACGCCCCCGCGTCGCAGTCGACGAGGATCATATTCTCCATGCTGATGAGCTCCTTCACGGCCTTCTCTTCCCAAAACCTGCTGCGCTTCGGGTTCTCCAGCAGGATGAGGCCACCCATGGTCACGTGCTTGGCCAATGTCTTACAAAACCATCTCAGCAAAGGGCTTTCCGCGTCCCGGAGCATCATGAGTTCTTCCATCCTGTGGGCGTAGTTGCAGTTCTCGTTCATGACGCTCCAGTGGGTGCATCTGCACCCTGCCAAGACCAGCAACGGTCCGAGATTGTAGACCGCGTGCTCGAAGAGCTTCTTGCCCTCGGACGTGTTCAAGTCAGTCCCGAGGTCTCGCTCAAAGGGTTGTAGTGCATGGAGTCCATATCGCTGTGCTGTCTGCGTAGCCTTCGCAGTACCCGCAAAGGCTTCGCAAAGGTCGAAGCCGAACTTCCGGTCCGCTGCGGTCGGCAGGCTGTTCAGAATCATGACCTCCTTCTCGAGGATGTTCACCGACTTCATCGCACTTCCTCCAAGTCTCTTGAGTCGACCGGTTGGAAGTCGTCCAGATACTGGAACGCGCTGTGGCTCATCTGGTCGTCGAAGTCCGGCATCTCCTCCGGGTCGTTCAGTCCATGGCCTGCCGCCGAGGATGTCATAGATGGCGCTCGTGACCGACGAGGAGCTCGGAACATGTGGGGCTCCCCCAGGTAGTCCGATGCCGTAGGCCTCGGTCGTGTCGCTGTAGGCATTGGCCGCCCTGCTGGTCCATCATGACTCCCTCCGGAATCGGCACACGGTACCCATCGATCTGACCCAGCAGAGGTGGTATGGCCATACTGCCCATGCTGCCATCCAGTGTAGTCAAGGGCGATGGCGGGTGTCGCTGCGAGCTGGAGCACAAACCATCCAATATCCATCCTTGAGTATTGTTTCGCGTTCCCCATCGCCAGCGAAGGCTGCACTGCAGGCACTTTGCGTAGGACCCGTGGCGGTTGCCGTACCTGTGGAACGCCGGGTGGTGGCATGTCTGCTGCCTTGTCTCCATTTCCTTGTAGAGCTTGTTTTTGGCCTCCCTCTTTCTGGCGTTGACCAGGCCACCATCGCCCTCGAGAACCACCTGGTTGTAGATCTCGTACTCCACGATGCCCAGTCTCACCGCCACCCGTAAAGTCCGCCAGCACGTCCTTGCGAGGTGTAGGATGTGCCTGACCACTGCTGACCATCGTCTGATGATGGTGTCCTCCCGATTCATGGGTCGCCGCGGGAGAGGAGGACGAGATGGCCGGTTTCGTCTGGTCACCTAGCACATTGCTCATGGCTGCGGCGTTGATCAACAGATTCACCTCCGGATCATCCATGCCATGATCTTCAAGTTCTTGCCAAACATGACTCTTGTTGGGCTCTGGGGGAACTCCACAATGCTGATAGCCAGGTGTCCCTCCAGTAGTCGTAGTTTGGCAGTGCGGTTCAAGTGAGTCAAGTGGGCCTTTTGGTTGGGGAAGTCCAGCACACACCCAAGTTTCTGCAAGGTGGTGGGGCTCCTGGGGATGCTGGCCTTCACGATGTTGGTGCCCAAAAGGAAACACTCTTCCCCTACAGCTGCTGGAAAGGTCATCTGGCGGGCGGAGATCTTTGGTTTGCCGGCACCGAACTGAAAAGTCTCATGACAGGTGCTCATCATGGGTTTCAAACCAAACTCCGCCAGCACATCCACTTGACTGTCACACCATGCCTCGCCACAGCATGACCTCTGACAAGCTGTGTCAATCACCATGTAGCCTGCGGCCTCTGTGGTTGCGATGAGACAGTCATGTTCTGACACATGCACATGGCGAAGCATCATCACGAAGTGTGACTTTTTCTTACACCCATTCTCATCTGAACACTCTACGGTCTTGTCGAAGGCGGCCGAATGGCGGGTCACAAAAGCCTTGCGGTTGCCCTTGTCGCTACGGTTCTTGCCGGTGCCACCGTCCTTGGAACTGCGTGCTTTGCCACCCTTGCCAGGCGCCCCCGCACTGATCTCACACCCACTGTCCCCGGCCCAATGGCCGGTTTTCCCGCAGGCTGCGCAACTGCTGGTGGCTTTCCTCTGCTGCACCGACTGGGTCTTGCCATTGCTGAAGACTCGCCCTTGTGTGACTTTGGCGAGCTTCTTTGCAGTCACTGTCAAGACCTCCGCCAGCTGACCAAGTTCGTCACCTTCTTGGTCTTCATCTTCTCCATACTCATCTTGATCTTCTTGATCACCATCATCCTCGTGGTTGCCCTCGTTGGTGTCCTCGGGGATGGTCTCCAGGCCGTCCACCGCGTCCTCGAACTCTTCGTCCTGAGGTTCTTTCTGTTCTTCCTCTTCGGCTGACACTGCAAGGACCCGTCTCGGGTAACTGCCGTCGCCCTTGCTGTTGCCCTTGCGGTAGCCGTTGTTCTTGCCACCTGGTGCCGCGGGTGTCCTGTGAGTCCAAGGCTTCCCGCGGTTTTGTCCCTTGGGGTTGTTGTGGTTGAGGTTCTCCCGGCCGAAGACTGGTGGCGAGGGCTTGTACTCCGGGAACTGAAGTGTCAGCGCTGAACGCACCGCCTCGTAGTTAAGCTGCTGTCCAGTGCCCACCAACACCATCCGTTGCTGGTCCAGGCTGAGCTTGGCACGGTCCAGCAATTGTGAACCCCGAGACTCGGAGTCGTAGGACAGTGCCATGTCCACTCCGATCGCCTTCAGCAAGACCTCCACGCGGCGGTACCTGTTGACGAAGGATCGCATTGACTCCTGGGGCAACCGCGCGATCGTCTCAAACTCATGCAGGTAGTGGCGCTTCACGTACACCGACTTCTGTTGAAAGGCACTCCTCAGCTCGTCCAGGATGTACTTCACGCCCTCCTTGTGGTAGATGCAGTTCACATCTACATGTTCAAGTTCCATTTCCGCTTCTCCCTGCAGGCTCACGTACAGCTGCAAACCAGCCTCCGCGGCCGTCATATAATTCTTGACTTGGAGCGCCCAGACTTGCGTTCAAACCGGTCAAAGGCGCGTATGTCGCCGCTCTGGTACTTCCATTGTGGTGGTGCAGGAGGCGTGCCGCCGCGAAACCGTACACCGCGCTGTGGACCTTTCAACAAAGTCCACGACTCATCGTCACCATCCTTCTTGGCCTTCTTGATGGCCGTGGTGAGGGTATCCACCGAAAAACCAGCTGCCGGTTCCTGCGTAGGAGTTGTTCGTGCTGGTAGTTCTTCATGATCAAGTGCGTCGTCCGGTATGATGAAGGGATCATCGGTCGGAGCTTCGCTTTCACCAGGCTCGTAGCTGTCGCCACCGTCTCCAGGTCCATCTGGTGGTCCCCCTCCAGTAGCCGTTTTCTTCCGTCTCCTCTGCCTCCTCGATGATCCGGATGAAGCGGTTTGACCGTCTGGTTGAGCGGCACCAGCGGGGATGTACATCCAGGTGCCGTGGTCGAACTGCCGCTTCGTCGGGCGATGCGCATCGTAGAACTCTGCTCCACCACACGATGAACGTGTCCAGCTCCTGTTGTCGCCATCCCAGTAGTGCTCCATGGAGTGACACTCCAAGCACCGCCAGTCTTCTTCTTCAGCATCTTGATGGTCGACCGCAGGTCCATCGTCTGGTTGTACATGAGGTTGTGGTTCCGGCTGTGGTCGTACAGATGCTTTCAACCAAGGTGAAGGTGTAGGTCCTGCTTTCGTGCCGCCTCATCGGCCGATGAGCCTGGCCGTTTCGGTACTGCTTGTCGAGGTGGTTGTGGATCAGGTTCACGTGATGGGCTCCGTGAGGTAGGCAGATGATCCTCGTCAAACACCACCTGGACTTCATCTGGTCCAAGCCTCGGGTGGATTGGTCGTGCTGGTACTCCAAGAGGAACTCCACCTGGCCATAGTGCATGAATCGGATCCGACCCCATCGGCAGACCGGGCCACATTGGATGCATGCCTCCCTTGCCGGGCCAGTGGCCGAAGGGCATGCCTCCAGGCATCATCGGCATACATGGTCCTGGCCAGCCCATAGGAACTTGCCAAAGAGGAGCACCCGGAAGTCCAGGATGTACACCACCGTGAACCTGCCCATGAGGCACTCCAGGGAGATGTGATAGTTTCGGGTGGTCAAGCCCTTGAGGCTGTCCAGGTCGTATCGGTGGCATCTGCCCTTCGTGTACACGAGCGGCTCCAGGGCCTCTTGCTCCGTTAGGATGCTCACGCTGAAGAGCAGCACCACAGGTCGTATTCACGAGGATCACGCCGAAGAGCGTCTTCCAGTCCTCGTGCACCTGTATGGTGATCTCGCCGGTGGGCGCCATCAGGGCCTTGAGCTCCTTCGTGGTGACCGTGCCGAAGAGCATCATCATCAGGTAGTAGCTCATCGTCGTACTGTGACGTGTCGGAGTCTTTGCTTGGTGATTGGGCTCTCTCTTCTTCTCCAGGCCGGTGGGCGTCACTTCCGCCAAGCTCATCAGCTCCGGCTCCAGTACCGCCTCCGTCGGCCTGTCCCTGCGTGGTGGGCTGAGGGGCATCACCGCCATGACGAGGTTCAGTCCTCAAGTCCGGCGTCCCGCCGCTCCTCTGCCGGCACCACGTCCTGCCAGGAAGGCATCGCTGATGCCGATGTTGGGCTCCCGAATCGCTGTGAGGAGCTCCGCTACCAACTTGTGGTAACGCTCAGCGAACGTTTTCCATGGTTCCGCCACGCTGCGAGCGGAAGTAAAGAGTCTAATTGACTCAAGGGCGCCGCTAAGCCAATGGCCGCGAAAGGCAAATGCATTGGGGACCCAAAGAAGAAACACCGCAAAACTCACAGTATCAACTGCGTGGGTGACGCTGAAGCTTTCGACTGGTCTGTCTCAAAGTCTGTTCAGCCCATCATTTGCTGCCGGCGGGCGGATTGCAGCAGGCGCTCTGGACCTCCAAAGTGGAGGTCTTCACAGGCAAATTGGTGATGGCCGGACTTCCCAACCTCAGTGCCCCACCTTCAGCTTTGGGAGGCTTCAGGCAACCTTTCCATCTACCTCCCCATCGAAGCGGAATGTGAAGGTAAAAACCAGCATGACACGTATACAAGAAAAAAAAGCACTCGCACCGACTGTCTGGCCAACTACACGTGACAGGTTGGGCGATTGAACGCATGCTGGCCTCTCCCAATGTGCTGCAACAGCGTGAGGGGACATGATGGAGCCTTGGGATTCTGTCTGCTTGGGCCGGTTTCCCAGGCCATCTGAATGAGATGACACCTTGCCAGCATGGTGAGGAGCGCTAGCTAGAGCAGCAGCTTAGAAAAACGGTGATCAAATGGCTAGCTCCATCCAAAGACGCGGAAACACACATCATGGCGGGCCTTCAATGCTTCATGGCAACCGCTTGCGTAAGAAACAGGGAAAGATAAAGGCAGGCCTTCAGCTCGATGCTCCATAGTCTTGTCATATAGGTGTTTCTCAAAATTGGGGACCCCTGTAGATAGGTGGTTCCTTTTGGCTTCCCCTCAAAACCATCCAATAAGGGGCGCCCATTTTGAGAACTCCCCACGTCACTTTTTTTCCTGCGTTCATAGAAATGACATCCGGCTCCAATGCCAGCTGGCGTGTGCAACATCCGAGCGGCCTTATAAACAGCACTTCTCGCGCCATGTGGGACGGGCACAAAGTGCCAAATGGGATTGAAGCTTGGAGGGGCTGTCCATCTAGAGGCAGTTGCCAACTTGCTTCTCACCTACTGGCTTGAGGGCAAGAGATTGTGCAAGCTGGGGTACGCAACCAAATGCCGCAGGGGCAAATGTTCAAGGCTCTAAAGCAAAAGAACAAGTGTTGATCCGTTGCAGGCAGGAATTATGGAAAGAGAGCCAGGTTACAAACTACTGCAATGATTCCACTTCCCGCAAACCAAACTCAAAATACATGCTGCCTCCGACTGCTTGGGCGCGCAGCTGCAGGAGTGGCTTGGGCAATTCAAGTGGCAAACAGCACAGGCCATCGCAATGTTGGAATGACAAAAACCACGGGTACTATCCACATGCGGGCGTGCGCTGCACATTTTGCCTGGCGCCCGACCTCAACCCTTTCCGGCAAGAACTTTGGACCCCCAATGGTGCGAGTCACATTGATCTGACGCTCGCCTTCTCATTCGGGCGATCGCGGGGGAGGGGCGATTCTCTAAGTCTTCCAAGTCTTAGACTCTGACTTTAAAGCCCAAATCAACTCCCATCGCGTCACTTTTGCTCCATGGCATTCACCCTGAGCACCAGTTGCGCTCCTTAGAGGCGATAAAATTGCCTTGGCAAACCTGCCGGAGGCTAAGGAAACAAGGAAGCAGAGAAGCAGGGAGCTTTTCTTCTGGCAAGCTTCTGGCAGGCTTCTGCGCATAGCGCATCCCTAAGCAGCCTGACCTGCGTAGCCTGTGAAGCCCGGGTAAGCTGGCTGCGGCTGCAGGTAGCCGCCTGGTTGTTGTGCTTGTTGGTGCTGGGAGTAGTCATGGCCGTTGCCGCCTTGAGGGTTGTACGCGTTGTACATATCCGGCTGGTACGCATGCAGCGTTTCCCCTCCTTGGTTCCGCAGAATCACCCTCCCTGTACCCCAAGACATGTCACCAATGCGATAGAAAGGCAGATTCAGCCTGCAGGTCCTTCTGTCCACAGCTGTTCAACTTTCTGAGGGCCCCGGTTGAAATTAGTCTGCAAAGGCAGCCCAGTGAGCAACCAACTCAAGCATCGGGCCTCGGGGCTCTGGAGGTTGTGTGACGGGCCCACCATGAGTCACCCGTCTTGACAAGTGCAACAAGCGCGACAAGTGCAACAAGTGCAACAAGTGCAACAAGTGCAACAAGTGCAACAAGTGCAACAAGTGCAACAAGTGCAACAGCCCAGCCTTTCCATGCGAATTGGCAAACTCGCCACCCAACCAGTCCCGCGACCCGCACCCAGTTTCGCCCTTTCAGCCCAGCCACCCACCTCGCCCTGCGCGGGCTTTTGGCGCATGTACCAGGCGGCCAGGGCGATGCCACCCAAAAGGCCCAGCACTACGCAGCTCACAGTGATCACGGGGAAGCCCTCCTTCTTGGAGCTCGGCAGCTTGCCTCAGGGAAATACTTGCCAGGCCCCAACTAGTGGCTGTTGACCCACACTCCAGAACAAAACAGGACATGAACCTGGAGGGAACGAAGGGATCGCTGCAATGAGGGCCTGATCCCTAGTGCCCCCTTCGCTCAAATCGGAAAACTGCTCGCCCGCCACCTGACTTCTACCTTCATCTTGCGGTAAAAAATCGCAACTGCCACCTTTGGCAATGAAGATGGGCCGCTTCTTCATTCCCCACGCCCCATCCAGAAATGGGGCGGCCCTTCACAACTGGCCTTTCTTTTTGGCCGGATTGGGGGCACCAAATGAGGGTAACATCCAGCACTGCTGGTCTTGAAACTTGGGCAAAGCCACAAGTGTTGCCGACCTTAAGCAAAGGCCCCCGTGCCAAGCCGCTGCCCCAAGCAGCACAAGTTTGGTCCGTGAGGATCAGTGGCGCCGTCTTCTCTGAGATGTCTTTGGAGAAGACCTGGGCATGCACCAGAGCCTCCAAACAGCCCCACCACTCAAGCGCGTGCGCCTTGTCGTACATGAACTTCCTGAAGCGATTCGCGTATGTGTCCGGCGGCTGCGCAGAGGTCTCGCGCGCCCAGCCGGCAGTGACAACATACTCTGCCTTGGTCTTCGCATCGTAGGGCCTGGCCGAAAGCTTGCGGCACGTTGCCCGGTGCAGCTCTCCAGTCAACAAGAGCTAAGAACATGATGCCAAACGCCAAAGAGCAGACCGCTGCGACGAATGCAAAGCACCAAGGCGCTTGCCCGTTTGAGGCTTGAGAGGTGTTATCACACTGCATCGGGAAGAAGCGTCCAAGGATGACAAGCGCCTCTAAGCTTCTCAGTGCTCTTTTCAAAGGCAAAGCCTCTAAGCCTCTAAGCTTCAAATCAGGATGTTCGCCGTCACGCGCCTTTGAGCTCTTCTAAGCCTTTTACGCCTCTTTGAATCTACTAGCGACCCCACAAGGATCCATAAAGCCTTGCTGCTTGCATCTCCTACTTTTCAAGGTTGGCCCACTCAAACAGGTCTGGCGAGCTTCAGCAGGTCAATCATGCCAAAGCATGTGAAGTAGACCTTCAAGCCCCTAGTCAGGCCCCCCATACCTCAGCTGCAATTCGCTGGCGAGCCCGCACAGAAACCACGCATAGCTGTCGATAGTCAGCTTCATTCGCAGGAAACCCCAAAAGTCATGACATCATGCCTCCCAACATGCACATCATGTCAGAATAAGCGAGAATTGCAGCCAGCCAACGTCTCAGATCATCTCAACATAAGCTTTGACCAGCCGTAGAATTGCTCCCCAACATCACCAACCAAACAAAGGAAACAGACCTCAGAGGTAGCCGCTGGCACGAAAGAAACACAGGAAGAGGATCGCTACTGGTGGCAATGGATGCACTGATTACTGAATACAGTGTTTTAAAAGGACAGAACCAACCATATAACTATATTATTAACATTCCTCAGCAACAAATGCAAAAATCATGGAATGCCGAGGCGCAGGTGTGCCCCAATGCCCTTTGCTTCACTTTTCCACCGGCGCAGTAGAACTCCTGAAGCCAGTTTCTGTCAACTGGCGCCGGAACAAAACGCCCAAGGACCGCCGTTCTATGGGCATGCAAGTGCCTGCGCGGGTGGTACATGCCCAGGCGCTGCAGGTCTCGATTGCGGGCGCAAGGCGAGTAAGGACTGCCAGCCAAAACCGGTAGCTTGGCAGCACGCGAGAAGGGAACGTGGGGACCAACTATAGCGTCTCCCGAAGCGAACATGTCACACTTTCTGGAGGAAAAAAAACTGAAGTTGAATGGGCACTGGAACATGCACACCCTTAGTCCTCTGTCCTTCCGCCCCTCTGTCGCCCAGGTGGGGCCAGCCGGTTTCATGTGGCTTGCCACGGTTCCGTGCAATCAGACTGCACATCGTTTTGCTATCAACCCCAGGTGACACCGCAAGCCGCGCTCCTTGATGCTCTTGAAAAAGTCCCCGAGGCTGTAGCCGGCTTCGCCACAGCCTGCCTCCGGGTGGCAGACTGGCGCGACGCACCTCGCTTGTGTGTCAGGGAGCGTTCATTAAAAGGGCTTCATTCGAAAGCGGCATCCCGATGATGGCTAACACATGTACAATGTGCGGGTAAATTCTGACAGACACCCTACCCCAAAAAAGAGGGGGTGGATGCCCAAGGGTTCCTGCTTATCCAGAAGTAGCCCTCCAAAGGCGTGCCCAAGATCCACTCTTTGCGATCAAAAGGACGGTTTCAGGAATGCTCCGCACAAAAACAACTCCGCCAAGGCCAGCCCACGGCGCAACAAATCAAATCCTATGATCCATCGGGACACTCTGCAGCAATATTGTTCTATAGTATATGTCCACTTCATATACATTGTTACATTGTTCTTGACAGGGCCCAGGACCGAGAGGAACAAAGAGCATCAAAATCCATATTGACGGGCAACATGCACATCAGCGCTGCGGCTCCAGTGGTGCGACCATCCAGAGTAGCCAAAGGATATACAACCGATACATACAAAATGGGCCAAGAAATGCGCTAGCAAGAAGTGGGGACCCAAGAGGGCTGAAAACTATTGGGCAACGAACGAAAGGCTCTTGGGCGTTTGTTTTAGTCGTGTCCCCGACTGCTAACGTCGGATTCATCTGGAGCAAAGTGCTTATCAGTGGTGACCCTTTCAGTAACACCAGTATCTATGTTGTATACCTCTGAACAGTGGAATCCTCCAAAAACATTCGGAGTCAACATCAATGACGCTCTTCGAATGTTTCCTTAGCATAGCAAAGGCTCCTAGCAAAACGTGCCTTGCTGCTGCTCAAAAGGCTAAGCACAGCAGCTGAGTTTGCCTGCTACCGATCTCACTTTATTTCGGCCAGTTGCGAATCCTTCTTGCAGGACTCAAGCTCGTAAACCAGCAGGCCAACTATGAGAGAGTAATCCAGCAGGCCCGCGTTTGCCAGCATGAGCGCATCCTGAGTCAGCTTCCCCCTTCAATAAATTTGCACCGCTCACTCATAGTCTCGTGCAGCAAAAATGAACTGCCAGGGCGAGGAAAGTTACGATTCTTTCCAAAGTTGCTGAGGTATTTGCCCTGTGACAGTACACCGGATTGGGCCACACAGCTGTGTTTTGTGCGAACGGTGCTTCAAAGCAAACCAGAAGATCCGGCTTGCAAACTTCCCCGACGAATCCATTTGCCCGTCTTGAAGGCCTCTGGCGCTCACCGAGGTGCAGAGTCAACGGCATGCAGCACCTCGTCCCGCTGGCTGGGCGACAAGGCGATGGCCTTCTCCTGGCCTGTCCAGTCCTTGTCCTCACAGGGCTCTCAGTGGGAGCGCTCAGCGCCTGGAAGACGAAAAAGTAGCGCCGAAGCGATCAAAAAAAAAAAAAAAACGTCCAAGGCAGCCTGTCCTTTTGCGAACTGCTGGTGTCCCCGCTGATTCGCCCCGCAGTGGAGCCTTTCAAGTCCCAAGTGATGGGGAACTTCACCTCAGTCACAATGGGCACTATGGCCTTGTCAGCTTCTAGATCATTAGCCAGCTGACAAGGTCGGTCATGTCGCAGGGCGCTGTATGAGTTCGCGGCTGATCCCCCCCCAAAAAAAAAAGACTCTTGTGAGTGCATTGTGCTTAGCGAAGGTCGCAAATGAAGCCAACGAAAATTGTTCTGAAAACCGGTATACTGAATAGTCTGAATAGTCCATATATGTCATGCAGGACCAGCATCATGTCGATTGCCTGCATTCATCTGCGTCTCTCTCTCTCTCTCGTCTTCACTTTCGCTTTCTCTGTCTCTCTCTCTATCTCTCTGCCTCCCTCTCCGTCTCTTTCTCTTTCTCTTTATGCTTCTCTTTCTCCTTCTCTTTCTCTTTCTCTTTCTGTTTCTCTTTCTCTGTCTCTTTCTCTCTCTCTCTCTCTCCCTCTCTCTCTCTCTCCCCCTGCTCTCTCTGTCTCTGTCTCTGTCACTCTCTCTATCTCTCTCTGTCTCTCTCTATCTCTCTCTGTCTCGCTCTCTCTCTCTCTCTCTCTCTCTCTCTCTCTCTTTGTCCGCTCTCTTTGTCTGTCCCTGTCTCTGTCGTCTCTCTGTCTGTCTCTTTGTCTGTCTCGGTCTCTCTGTCTCTCCATCTACCTCTGTCTCTTCTGTCTCTGTCTCTTCCTCGGTCTCGTTGTCTGTCTCTGACTATGTCTGCCTCTTTGGCTGTCTCTGACTTTGTCTCTGTCTCAGTCTATTTGTCTATTTGTGTCTCTCTCTCTCTCTCCCTCTCTCTGTGTCTCTGTCTTTTTGCCTCTGTTTGTCTCTCTCCCTCTCTCGCGCTCTGTCTCCGTCTCTGCTTCTGTCTCTGTCTGTCTCTTTGCCTATCTCGCTGTCTGTCTCTGTCTGTCTCTGCTGTCTCTGTCTCTGTCTCTGTCTCTGTCTCTGTCTCTGTCTCTGTCTCTGTCTCTGTCTCTGTCTCTGTCTCTGTCTCTGTCTCTGTCTCTGTCTCTCTCCCTCTCTCTCTCTCTCTGTCTCTGTCCTCGTCTCTGTCTCCGCCTGTTTCTCTGCCTGCCCATTTGTCGGTTGGTCCATGTGCATGCCGATGTGCATGCGTATGTGCATGTTCATCTACATGCGAATGTCTCTTCTCACCTCGTGGATGCTCAGCCCATTTGACAGGGAGGGGAGGGGGTGCGGGCGGAAGAAGTCACTTCTTCGCCTGAAGGACCTTGAAACACTGGAAACCACTGGGAACCGTCGCTCTGCCCATGTGAAGGTCCAAAAGGGGGCTTTTGAAATAGGATTCCTCGGAGCCCTCTGAGGCTACCTGGTTCTAGCCAAGTTTGTGTACCTGTCCAGCAAAGCTGCTCAGAAGTCAAGCCTGTTTCTGACTGCAACAGCAACGGTAGATGTACGTAGATGTGTTAGAATCAGAAGCAGCTTTCTGAGAAAGCAAAGAGCTAGAGCGCTGCGTGGCGACATGTCAAAAAGAGAGACAGACCCAGGAATCGCTAGAACATAAAACGATACTGACTGCAATACACCTGTACAAGCTTAATCTCTGAGCATCGCGCCGGCAGCCAATTGTTCGCAATGATCCAGAACTTGCCAGCATCGTCCTGCATCTCTCAAATCCCGGTTTTACCCAGGTCCACTTGCCAACATTTTGAGAGAACAAGCACGTGCACAGAGTCCTCCATCAAGGCGTAATATCGCATCATCATGGTCGTGCTTGCATGATTTTTGACGTGGTTGGCGTACCTAGTTTGTCTCCCAAATCCCTGGCCACTTCAAAGGCAAGTACTGCATGGCCACAACTGCGGATCAAAACCAAGGATGATGCACAAACCTGCGCAATGTTTTTTGCAACAACGCATGGATGCTTCTTACATTGAGACAAAAATGCTCGCATTCTGATGTTGAAACCTGGCGCAGAAGTCTGATTCCATGCAATGGCACTGGCCACTTCACAAACTTGGCGTGGCTTTACATGAACCTCACTCATTGCAGGGCCAAGGCGCTGATGGACAATCGGGGCAAAAGCGCCAATGTCGCGTGCTGACATGGTCTTAATGATATATCGCTTGTCGCTGCTGAAAATCATCATCGCTCCGCTCCTGCCGGTGCCTTTCCTGAGGGAAGAAGCAAGCCCCGCAAGTTCTGTCCGTTTTGTCCCACTCTTTGATTGGCAACCAAGAGGCTCAGCCTCAGAAAGATCTATGTGGCTCTCGTCCAGGATCTCCTCTGGGTTCGGAACCTCATCTTGCAGAGGCGCAGATGCCAGCTGTCTGTAGCAAATCGGGACGGGGGTTGTTCATGTGGGATCTGGAAAACCTCGACTGTGTCAAATACAAACAGCACCAAAGACACACCACCTGCCCAGCCCTACCAACAGCCACATTCCCCCTGGCCAGGGAATAGAATAGCCAAACGCAAGGGTGCAGGCGCCTGAAATACCTCTCGGATCGATTTCAGCACGTTGTCGCAGTGCAGTTTGTAGCCCTACGGAGCGCGAAGAAAATTTGTCAAAAGGGCAATGAAAAGGGGACGCATAGGATAGCAGAACTGAACTTGCATTTGCCTTGCCACTTTCCACCCAATTTGGCTGAAAGATCAACAAGGACAAAACCCAGCTCCTGCGTGCCGAAGTTGGTGACATGGCCGCATATTGGGGTCAAAGCTGCCAGCGCTGCCGACATGTTCACAGCCTCCTGCTCCCAAGACTCTTGGTCCAGCACTGAGCTAGCGAACGGGCTGAGCTGATTCACCTCAGCTGATGAGGCAAACAGTGACCGCGGACTGCAGTCGGCAACCCACCCAACATTCTCAGCAACCGCTCGATCATTGCAGCCTTCTTTGAGCTTTCGCATGCAGAACGTCCCCACAGAGTCTTGCAGCTGCCAACCGCCCGCGGAGGCAGCTACAGATGTGGCAACCGGCTGAGGACACAGCGTCGTCATCGTCGTTCCTGATGGCGGCCGCTGGCAGCCAAACCAGCAGAGTGGCGTAGAAGACAGGGCACCTAGCAAACTGCTACCCGTGCGCCAACACATGAGCGTACGCACCCCATTGAGCAAAGCAGTGTTCCGCCTTGGTGCCTCCAGCCCCCTCCAGAACGTATGCTGTTGCACTCTTGACGCAAGCCTCCACAAGGCCCTTGCAAATGAAGACGACGGGTGGCCTCCAAGCTGACAACGAAAATGCGTACCACGACAAGCAGTGATTCGGCAAAGCATGACTGGGGTGCGCGGCCTGATGTAAAACATGGCACTCGTTGTGCCGAAGGCATTTCAGCAAGATTGGCAGTGCCGTGCCAGCATCAGAGCCAAGCTGATGCTGCACTTGAACGCAAGATGGCCAAAGTCAACCAGTCAGCCTGTCCTGTAGAAAGGTTGGGGGCACCAAACCTGCGTGCAATGCACTTATCAACCAGTCGCTGTGGAGAAGCTGTCTGCAAATTGCGGAAGGGGCCTTTGACAAGCTGCCACTGCCTACAGGCTACGCAGCAGCTTGGAGGCATCTTTCTCGCACTCACTGAGAGTCAGTCCAAATTGGAAATCCCAGGAGTAGGGTGAGACTGCATCGCAATTTCGAATTTCTGAGCACCTTGTTACTTTGAAAACAAGAGCACTCTGCAAACTCCATCTGCCAGAAGGAAAAAGCTACTGCTACCCGGGATACATCCAAAAGCCCAAATGGAGCTTGCTGGTGTCACGCAGCTACTTGAAGCTGCTACCATTTCACCTTGTGCACGGCAAAAGCATGAAAACCGCCTGCCCTTTTTTCAGACAGACTCAAATGCGCACCGCTGGTACCACTTCTAGGGTACCAGGGTGCTCAGTCAAATACACAATCGCTAAGTGGTGTCTCAAGGCTTTGCTTCATTACGTTTTGTCCAACGCGTGAACTGTCAACAAGTGAAGCTTGTGGGTTGCCTGGACATTCTTTCAGGGCATATTCCGACAGTCTGGAAAAACCCTAGCAACTGACACGCCACCATAGCTGCTCGAAGCATTCGCTCCTGTAGAATGCCGGCGTCCAAGGGTCCTCGTCAGCCACTTGGCCAGCATGCTTAGCAGCAGAACACCATACCTGTGTTGCAAATGCGCATGGCTTGGCTGCTTCGTGTGAACACCTACTTATCGACTGGTTCTGACTCAGCGATTCGGCACCGATCTCCTCCGCTATACGAAGGGCTGCGCAAGGGCCAGCTTGGCATCAAAACAAAACATCCTTGGAGCACAAGAAGCAAGCTGCATGTCAGGGCCAGTGCCGAGCAAACAACTCGGGCATCCAAGACGCGGACGGGATGTCTACTGCACGGTCGTTGTCGGGAGGGTCGAACCCGCCATGGTGGAGCCCGGTGGGAAGGTGCCGGTCTCATCATCCTTGCTGCGGATGGCCTCCTGCACGTCCGCCAAAGTGATCAGCTGAGGCTGGGTGGCCAAAGCACCTCCGCCCTCCTCGCCCTTCGCCTTTTGCCAGGTCTTCTTGAGGTCTTCGTTCAGCTTGCCAACGATCTCGCCCTCTCCCATGCCCTGCTCCTTCAGGAGCTTGGCACGGGCAAGGAGCTCCTTGTGCTCGCTGCGCACCACGTCCTTGATCTTGGGGTTGCTGGGTGCCAGGAGCACTCCATCCTCATCCTTCTCCTCTTGATAGCTAGGCCCAGGTGCAAAGCCATCATCAGATGGGGCTGGAATTGCCACGTGCGTGGAGTACACCTGGGCAATGGGGAAAAAAACCGCATAGCTTCGGGGGATGTGTGGCATGGTCCCCAAGACGACCTTCACAAGTTCCGCCAAGGGCACTCGCAAACGCAAAGGTTATCAAGAACAAGGACGCAAGCCACACTCCTCTCTTTCTAGGCCAAGGCTCGTAGGACACCTTATGCTTCCGCTTGGAAGTGCCCACCTGCTCCGAGCGGTCAACAATGGCTGGCCGCCACTCTGGAGAGCTCCAGTCGGAGGGATGTTGGAACTTGGCATAGCCAAAGCACCTGACACAGGGAGCCCACAAACACAGAACGGTGCAAACCTTCAGGCACTCCGCAGAACTAAGCCAAAACATCTCTGAGGGCAGCAAAATCCGCTCCCTGACAAAAGCAAGGCACTTCGCAGGCGTATTCAACTCTGCCACGCTCTCCGAGAACTTCTTCTGCTCTCTTTCGAACTGGCGAAGGCGATTGTTCTTCAGCTTGTACTGCTCCGTGCCATCCACGACCCGAAGTCGCTGAGCGACGGAGCGGCCGAAGCTGTAGATGTTCGCGTAGTGCATGAACGTGCAGATGCTGTCCAGCGGCTGCCAGGAAGAGGGGTCCTGGCACCAGCCAAGTTGCACCTTGACACGGCCATCAGTGAAATCTTAACTGCAGAAAGGCCCCAGAAAAAGCTGAGGTGTGCGCAGCACACAAGCTGGCTAGCCCGCCCATGCGCTCCCATTGCACGCCAAAAGCAAACAGCTATCGCTTGTCGCCCAAGCAAGTGCCTCACACGGACGCAACATATGGATGGCCATATGCAATTGTATACATGTGTGCGTATGTATATACACATGCATATGTGTAAACATGCATATACACATATATATATATATATATATATATATACGCGTGTGTATGTGTGTACAAGTGAAGATACACGTCCACCCATGGTTTTGCGTGTTTAAGCAAATACACCTACATACGTAGACACAAAAATGTTGTCAGCATGCATCTATCTATGTATGCGCGCACGTAGATATACATGTGTGCATTCATGTATGTATGTATGTATGTATGCATGTATGTATGTATTTATGTATGTGTGTATGTATGTATGTATGTATGTATGTATGTATGTATGTATGTCTGTCTGTCTGTCTGTCTGTCTGTCTGTCTGTCTGTCTGTATGTATGTATGCATGTATGTATGCATGCATGTATGTATGTATGTATGTATGTGTGTGTGTGTGTGTCTGTATGCGTGTATGTGTGTCTGTATGCGTGTATGTGTGATGTGTATATGTGTGTATGTGTGTACGTGTGCACGTGTGTATGCATGTGTGTACGTATGCATGTATGTATGGCATATATGTATGTATGCTTATGTATGCATATGTATGTTTGCATATATATGTACATATATATATATATATATATATTTGTATGTATGCATGCATGCGTGTATGTCTGTGTGTATGTGTGGCATGTATTCGGGTAGGGAAGTGGGTAGGTAGGCAGGCAGGCATGCAGGCAGTTACGTAGTAGGTACGTTGGTACGCAGGTACGTAGGTACGTAGGTATGCAGGTATGCAGGTAGGTAGGTATGTAGGCATGTAGGTATGTAGATATGTATGCATGCATGTAGGTATGTAGGTATGTATGTATGCATGTATGTATGTATGTATGTATGGGTGCATCAATGTCTTCGTGTGTACACATGTGTGTACGCATGTGTGTGTGTGTGCATATTTGTCTGTGTATCACTGCATGGCTACCGAGGAATGATGCTAAGGAACCTTGTTTGAACAAGCTGGCACAGCAGGTTTCGCGCAATGTCCGATCCCAACCTTCAAGGCCACTTTTTGCCCCGGCTGTCCTGCTCCTCGATGCGGTAAAGGCGCTTGTACTCGTAACTGTTGACGCCCACCTCATGAAGGCATGCCAGCAAGCAGCTCAAACTCGCCGGCATTCCCAACAATTGGCCACCGGTCGCGGTGCTATCCCTCCTTGAAACCTCTTCAAATCCCATGTCTTCCTCCTTGAAACCTCTTGAAATCCCCTTGTCGGTCCTGCCTTGCCCTGCTGCGCCAGCTCTCGTAGGCGCTGCGAGGGCACGAAGACCATGACCGAGTGGCGGTAAGACCTCAGCGCAGATCCTCGCCGAGGCTTTTCCTCTCATGACGCTGGGACCCATGGTGAAGGCCCTCCAGCCCTCTTTCGCGCCCCCTAAACCCCTACAAGTGTCACGAACGAGGCCTCAAAACTGGAGGCAGTTTTGTCATGGAAGCCACGGGCCAGCCGGCTCATCCCAAGGGTCCCAAGGGTCCCAAGAGCACAGGGCCGGACCCCCCGGACCCCCGGACCCCCCACCAGCCAAGAGGCAAGTCTTTGGCCACAGCCTCTAACTGGTTGCGGCGCTTGTTGTCCTTCTCCTGCGCAGCCTCTGCCTGCAAGATGCTCTGGACATGCACCAGCACTGCCCATGGCACACAACTCACAACATCTCAAAATTGACCCACCCAAACACGGAGGGTCGCTGACACCAATCAACTTGGCGAAGTTTACAAGATATATGAAGTATAAATTGCAGCAGTGTCTTGCCCCTCGCTCTCTCTTTATCGTTCTCTTTCTCTTTCCCTTTGTCTAGATATTTGTCTCTGTTTATTTCTCATGCTCGCTCTCTCTCTCTCTCTCCCTGTCGTTCTCCCTCTCCCTCTACCTCAACCACTCTTCCTCTTCTCGATGATTTCCCTTTCTGTTTCTCCGTCTCTTTCTCTTTATCGTTATCCTTTTCTCTCCCTTTCTCTCTCTCTCTCTCTCAGTCAATGTCAAAGTCTCTGTCTCGTTCGCTTTCTCTTTACCTTATGTCTCTTCGTATTTATCCTTCTCAGCCTCTGTCAATACCAGCTACACCTTCATGTCAGCTGCCCGGCAAATATGTTTCATTCAACTTCATGTTGCATGCCCTTCCTTGCCCTTCCAGCCAATCCTGCTGCCAATCCCTGTGGCGCAATCCGGCAGAACTGAAGTGCAAAGGACCCAAGGAGCGAGGCCTAGATGCTGCTGCCTATGGGAAAATCTTCGCAGATTTAAGTCGGCGTGCCTTGCAGGCGTCAGCCAACTTGTCCTTGAACTGGTGCATGTTGTCACCCATGTAGATTTGAACGCTGTGGCGTGTGCCAGCGCCCTCCTTAGCGCCCTCCTTCTCCTGCAGACATTCAAGAACTTGTTGAGAATACTGGATAGCACATGAGCGCCAAACACCAAACTTGCCACTCACCACCGGCCTTGCTTCCAAAGTGAATCCGGAGCTCCTCCTTGTTGCCCAGCACCTTGATTGAACACCATCTCTCTCTCTCTCTCTCTCTGCCGTTGCATCCAAAACGAACGCCATGGATCAAGCCTTTTTGGCTGTGTATGCATCAGTCATGCCCGACAACTCGAGGGGCAAAACTTGTAAAACTGTGGGTCAAATGAGTCTGCTGGCTGAATCAGCCGGGGTAGCGGTTTGCAGTTCTGACAACAATGCTTTTGAAAAGACAAACAATGCGTGGATAAAATAAATTGACTTGGTAAACTCAATGTGACGTCCTCGAGAACAAACGGTTCAAGCTGAATGCGGCTTGAATAAGTTCAGTACAAGGGTTCCACGCACCCACTCGAACAGGCCCGGTACAACTCCAGCAAAAACCGAATTCGCCACCGATACGGTCGGAGTCGGACTGCGACATGAAAAGTCAAATTTCAGAATCGAGCCAGATTTCTGCAGGGCACCGCGGCATAGTAGTCGTCCCGGTTCCGCGTGGCCTGGTCCCCCCAGATTTCGGGGTTGGATTCAAAGACTGCAAAGTGTTGCGAGAAAATCTAGCTCTGTGCTACGTGGATCGGAGTTGCCACGCGACCTGCGAGCTACAGCTAGGCTGCTGAGCTTGCAAATCACGAATAACCGACCCCAACGCACGCGTCCCAACATTCAAAGCACTGTAGATTTCAATGCGTAAACCTTGGCACAAGATCAATCGCTCCTCGCCGAGCCCTAGTGACTAGTGGTCAGTTGCACGCCTGGCGCGACGTCAGCTCAAGGTGATAGGCTTGCTTGGTGCGGCGCTCGAAGGAGCCCGTCCTGCCAAGCCAAAGCTGCAAGACTGCAAGCTGCAAGTTTGGCTCCCCGAGAATCGGTTCACGCGTCAGATCGGCATGTGGGGCAATGCCATGCATGACTCCCTATGCAAGCAGTGATGCTTTGTGTTGCAGGCACACATGCGCGATGTGAATGCCAAACTCGGCATCAGCCCAAAGCAGACTAAACACCCCCAGTCCCAGACCAAAATCCCTGGCCTCAAGGAGAACTCCTTCTCCTCGTCCCACTCAGGGTTCCTGGTGGCCTTCTTCGTAGTGGTGGTCCAATAGCATTCATGGCGTCCCAAGGCCGTCTGGTGCCAACCAAACTCATCAAAGCCCGCAGGGATCTTCTCCTGGCCAACAGGGGCATGCCAGGGATCAGGGCTTGCCGTGAAATCAGGGCTTGCCGTGGACGCGCAGAACTGAAAACAATGAGGAGAAGATTGGCCACCCACCACAGACATGCAAGTAACTACTGCGAGCTTGCCGCGGACAACCGAACAAGTCTTGAGTGGCACACTCTTCGTTTGCTGATTGGCAGCAGGCCCCAGACATGTGCCTCTTGCAGCCTTCATTCTTGGCCTGCCTTGTCTTGCCGGAAGAATGCCTCGTTCTTGACGTACATGCACACATAAGGGTCGCTGCCTTCCTGAGACAAGGCGGCAGCCTGAAAGCTCACTGCATGCGTGGACGCGTGGAGGCGCCAGCTGCCCTCAGACCCTGAGAGCCCAGCCCGGCGATAGCTTCTGTCGGCCCCTCGCAGGCCTTCTGCCTGGAGCCCGTCCGAACCCAGCACGATTCCCCTCGGTCTGCTCTGGGCAGCAGGCCTTGATGATCCTCAATTTCAGCTTCCCAGTGTGCAGGATCTCCTGAAGTCTGAACAGGTGCGTGGCGCATGTGGAGACATTGCGCATACTGCCGCCTCTTTGCCCGGCTCCCACGGGTCACGCGGATCCCACGCGTCCCGGCCTCCCGCTTCACCCGCTTCTCCATGTCCGCCGCATCCGGCAGCGGCGGCACCTCCTCCGCGGGGAAGGTCCAAGAGGCCTCCACGATGAGGTGGCCTGCGCTTTGCGCGAGGCTCGGAGAGTGAACCTTTTGGGCATTCCGCATCAGGCCAGGTGGGAAGGCTAAGATGGTTCACAGAATGCAAAGTGACAACATATTCCATTGCACGCGGGAAGCTGGGATGCGCAAATACTCCTGCTCATGCTCTGGCCTTGCTTCATCCATGGACAGGGAGCCGCGATGGGCAAGGGGTGCCCAAATTTGGGCACTAGTTTTGCTACATATTCCATTGCATTCGCCAGATATACCCCAAGCAAATGTCACCGCCAGGGAGACCCGACTTTGCTTTGGGATGCCTTGCGATCTACCTTTGACAACTGATGATGCGGTATGATGCGGTCAGTTCCATCATCCCGTGTGGCATCGGTGCACTGCGTTCAGCCCGCCGCACCTTCGCAGGACAACTTTGAGAGCTTCTTGCTGTGGTATCCTTAGCGCGCGAAGGTGGCGCAAGATCAAGCAAAGCAGGTCGAGCCACAAGCAAGCAGCAGCCCGTCTCAAACAACGCCAAGGTACACTTTCCAAGCACACAAGTGAGCAGCTAGCAAATGAAACCAAACTGCCGAATGCAACCCAAAATCAGCAGCAACGAGGAACAGGACACCACAACATCTGGACTTGCCAAAACAGATCGTACCCTGGGAATTAAGCTTGGCTGTGTGACTCCGGCGCAACCTCTCAAGCCCCCCCTTGAATCCAGCTGGGCGGCGTGTGGACCCCTTGTCTGCGGGCGCAGATGTCACCGGCAGCACATAGCGCTTGGTGCTGCCGGTCATGGAGCCCAGCGGCGGCAGCCAGCACTCGCCCAGGAAGTCGTCCTGCGAATCGCAGATGCGCCAGAAGCGGCATCGCTTGGCCGCGCGTGCGTCCAAATCTTTTGAATTTCACGCCCCTGGCGCAGAATTAGCCTCTCTGGCAACCAGAACGACAGGACCAACCCTGGCAGCAAAGCAGTTCTCACACCTCGCAAGAACATGTTGCACATAGGCAAAAGCAGGCTGACCTGAAGGCAAACACGTCCCTTCTCAAGAAATGTGTCTGACGCTCAACCCTTGTCCTGCTTGCCCATGTCCTGATCCCACACCTGCCAAAGCAAGTAGGAAACATGCGAGGAGATTGAAACGGCCATTGGTTCTAGCAAGAGGAGCTGGCAACTGGCTGGGTTCTGCATCTTGGCAAACCAAGTCCCACCCAAGTAAATAGCTTTCGAGCACAACCTCCCTAAAAGTCGTCACTCAGAACGCAAGAAGCTGCGGTGTGCCTCCAGCAAAACTGCCTGTCTCACATTCAGCGTGTCCATCATGTCAGCATCTGCTTCCTCCTGGAAAGGTGCAACACATACAAAACAGCTTGCTGCAATGACAAAATCCACAACACTGATGGCACGACTCTGCACTGTTTTTCAGAACCGACGCCGAAAAAAACAATGTCCTTGGTTGGATCTGCAATGGTGACATCCAGGTTGATGGGAACACCTTCCGGCACGTTCTTGGTGCTGTTGTCGGTGGTGGCAAGCTGTCTCAAGGTCTCGCTCAGCAGCGGGTTGGACGTCAGGCAGTTCACGAACTCCTGGCCACGTTTCACATGTACCACCCCTCGCACTGAGGCTCAGAGCTTGAAAAGTTTCCACAGGTGTCAAAACAACGTTATTTTTTGGACATGAGCCCCAATGTGCACGGCAGATTCTCGCACAATCATGAGCCAACGGCCAATGTGCGCATCAACACTCACAGCCATCACTGCCGTCACTGCCATCACTGCCATCACTGCCATCATCGCAGTCATGGCCGTCATGCCCATCACAGCCCTGCCTGCTTGGTGAGGTTCATCTGAATCTCTGCCGCCTCCTTGTCTGCTTCCAGGTCCATATCCAGGTGCACCACCCCACCCCTGAAGCTCCCATCTGCCTCCACGGGGATGCGGGAGTTGAATCTTTGCCCATCGCCCGCGCGACAGTAGCGGAGCCAAAGCGTCTTCGTCTGGCCAGGGAAGGGGTCGAGGACCTCCAAATCCAAAAGGCGCAAAGGCTTGCCTGTCTCCTTGATGGCATCTGGAGTGAAAAGGTTCAAGCCATAGCGGCCCATCATGACCTGCACCTCATGCGCGACGACCATCTGCTTCTTCACATCTGTCCACTTCTTGCCTTGTTCAGTGAATTCTTCCTTTGCCCTCTGCAGGTGCTCGCTGGCACCGCTAGCATCCCCCTCAATAACGATGGCATCCAAAATGCCGGGCACTGCACCACAGCGACTGAACACCTGAAGCATATCTTGATTTGGTGACGTGCAGTAAGCCCCAAATATAGATCCTCAAAACATCCTAAAACCCGAAACTCCCTAAACGATATGCCTTAGCAATCCCACCTGATCCGCAATCATCACAGCCTGTCGGTGGGTCACGGGGTGAAGGCTTCTGGCCATGATGCCAGCCACCAGCAGCCGGCACGCCTGCAGCGTGATGAGGTTCGGCTTGGCGGGCGCTGAGCTCGGGGTGGCGCTGGCTCCCTGTGTGCTGCCAGACCCAGCAGCAGCACGCTCGCAAACGGCCTGAAAATGGCCGAAGGGTCTCTGCCAAACCCAATCCCCACTTTAGAATCTCAGGCCATGCTCAAGTTGAATTTCATGCAATGGCCAGCCCTGCCTTGCGGAAGACGGTTCCCTCTACGGAGTACTGTGCTCCCCATTGCGAGGACCACTTCCACAGCTTCTCTTCCTTCAAAGCAGCCAGTTTGACGACGCATACGCACACGCATGTTCACACAATCTCAAGTCCCACTCCCCTAAGCCGCCATGTCAAATGTCCTTGTTCCATCCATGGTCCCCGCTGCCCATCTTGTGGAACAGCTGTCCGGTGACATTGTCGCGGCGCATGGTCCTGTCGAACTGCACAAACTTGGTCACCGGCGGGGCCATGGCCAGCGCGTTGGAGACCTTCCGCATGGTGCTGCGGGGGTCCCAGCGCTTCAGCTGCTGCGCCACTCCGTTCTCATCGTAGGTGTAGACCTCCACCCTGGGGTTCTTGGATTCAGGGGCATCCAAGTTCAGTGACGCGCTGTGCAGAGTCATGCCCAGCTGGCCCACCTCAGGGCCGCAGCGTGGCTCAGCGACAGTGGCACTGGGTTCCCCCTATGTTCCGCTGACGAACTGGTAATGACTCATGCTGACCAAACGGAGAACAAAATCGCACTCATGCTGAATCATGCTGAAACCCTCAAATCGCACAGCCCTCATAAACTAACTCATAAAACCCATCCAACGGCCGTCCACTTGCCTCAGGGCGGTTGCTTTGCGGCATCCACTTCAGGTCCAGCACCATGTCTCCGATGTAGGGACGCACCCCATGGTCTGTGAGCAACGCTGCGTCTTGCTCCCGGGAGAAGCCCGGTGGCAGCTGCTTCTCTGGGCCCCAAATGGTGAAAGTCCGCGGGTTTTCGCCTACCAGCGAGGTGGTGACGAAGGGCACCAGGCTGGGTACGAAGACCTCGCCCAGCACGACCTCCACCAGGCCGCTGGCGCCGAAGGCGTAGACGAAAATCTTCAGGTGCAGCGCCATGAACTTCACCTCCTCGTCCTTCGGCGCCTTCAGAAATTGGCCCTCGTCTGCATTGTTCTTGCCCTCGTTCCGCTCGATGATGACCCCCGTCGCGTGGGAGATGGGGTTGATGTGCGGCACCTGCTGCTCGCTGCCAGGGTAGCCGAAGAGGTGGAAAAGGGCAATGGCCTGGCAAAATGACACACACACACACACACGGCGTATTGCCCTGCTGCTCTGAAAATTTGGCTTGCGTTGCCGCAGCAGTATCTACAAACCCTGCAGCAAGGTTGTGGACTCCCGAAATTCCAACTTAATAATTCTCCTGGATGTGCCTCGCATGTTGAATGCACCACGCAAAATGCACAAGAAGAACGGGTGGCCTGAAAGCATAACAATTGTTGAGCAAATTCAGCGTTGCAAACTTTCGGGTTGCAAGTCTCTCCGTACTGGCTGTGCGCTCGTAAACGTTGTCCTGCGTGTTCTCTCGTGCTACTTACTCTTGTCATTATGCTTGCTTTGCATGTGCTCTCGCGCCACCTGCTCTGCACTGCAGGTGGCTGCACTTACTCTTCTCATGCAACTGCGTCGTGCATCTTGCTCTGCATGTACTCTCGTGCTGCTTGCTGGGCGTGCACGATTGCGAAACTGGCTCTGCTTCTGCTCTCGTGCATCTTGCTCTGCATGTGCTGTGCGCTATTTGGCTGCGCGATAAGGCTGGCTTACTTTTTCCGGAAGACTCCTTTGAAGAAGAGGCGCAGGCTTACATGACTTGCACGCAAGTGACAACTGCGTACTGTGTACCAGCCTCCCTGACCCACGCTAGTGCAATGGGAGGGGAGAATCGGGAGAGCAATGAATTCCACAGCCCACATGCCTGAAGCAACCTCTCACCGTGGCGACTAGGAAGGTATCACGCCCATTCTGGGCGACAAAAGAGAGAACCCCACTCCTCATGCTGATTGGGGAAAAAGTGCCAAACTTCTCTCTCTCTCTCTCTCTCCCTCTCCCTCTCTCTCTCTCTCTCTCTCTCTCTCTCTCGTTAAAATACGTTGGTACTTTACTGCAAGTGCAAGTGTTGTTTCTGTTATCACAAACAAAAATGTAGTTAGCCAACATGCACTCTTTTCCTGGTAGACTCAAGGCCTGCAGTCGGGTAGTGTACATCATGCATGCACAAGTGACAAGTAGTGCAACATGATATTTGACACGGCCCCTTGGTTAAAAGACCTTGTAGTGTCCTTTAACCATAGACCCAAAAGGTGGTATTGACAGTAGTGGCAAAAACGAATGCACGTGTTGTTTGCCGATGCTACTGTAGCGAACAGGCATGTAGTCTCTTAAAAAAGATGACCGAAGGTAGGTATCCACAGCGCTGCTGTCTGTAGTTCAACTAACCTTCAAATGATCAAAAAGTGAAATTGCTGTACAAGAACCCTAAATGGCTCTCAGTCATCTCGTAGTACGATGACGTAGTACAGCACGTAGTTGCAGCTCCACCTAGAGATCAGGTGTGCTTAGTCCAGTGTTGGACTCGGTAGTTCTGGACTTGGCTGATGCGGTAGTCCAAGCCTGCATAGTGGTTGGTAGTGAATGTGTTGAGGAAGTCTGGACCGCCACGGAGGCGGTTGTAGTCGCATTCTGGTGGTGCAAGTGCTTGGCCGGTTGTAGTGAGGTAGTTGTGGAGTAGTAGTTTGTGTTGTGTGGAAAGATTTGTAGCCGTGAGGAGGGTGATGCCGTAGTAGGTGACACTTTTGTGTAGCATCGTGTTGATGGACTTGTAGTGGTGGTCTTGAAGTTGTTGCGGTTGGTCGAAGTAGTTGAGTAGTTCTGGTAGGTACAGGGGCATGTGGTAGTTCCAAATGAAGTTGTTGGACAGGTTGAATGTAGTGGTGATCTGGTCCAAGTTGTAGGTGATTCGGTGTAGTCGTTGATGTAGCTGGCGTGTAGGTAGGTGGTGCTCGTCTTTGATTGAGATCATGTGGCTCACGTAGTCGCGGCAGAAGTTGATGAGTTGTCCAGCACTGACAAATCGTAGTAGAACTTCTGGTGGAATGTGTAGTTGGATGATGACCATCGAGTTGGTGTACTGAGTTGTGAGGTGTAGTGATGTTAGGTTGTAGTAGTAGAAGTTGACTGCCTCTGAAAGACGTAGGTGAAGAGGTAGTGAGTCGTAGTGTGGCATCCGTAGGTCTGAAGGTAGGTCGTGAACTGGTAGGTTGTAGTTGAGCTCGGGGATGGGTGTAGTTTGTTGTTGACTTAGTAGTTGGAACTCCTCGAGCGTCAAAGCCACGTAGACCCTGAAGTAGTTCTGCTCCGGGTCGATCGCTGGAGTGTCAGGGATGTTGTTCTCAATTGTAGTGAGGTGTGCCAAGATGTCGTCGGGTCTGTAGAAAGGTGCCGGTGTGGGTAGTTGGTGATTGAAGTTGTAGTTGAGGGAGTTGTAGGCCTCAGGTGGTGGTGTGGCCAAAGTAGCCATGCTGCTGGAGTCGGTAGTGCCCTGCCGATCCGGTGGTGTGAAAAACCCTGTCCGGTAGTACTGCCAGCCTGTTGTTCGACGGGCAGAGTAGTCTCTGGCGCTGATGTAGTAACCTCCATCGGCATGACATCCAGCGTAGTCGCATCCATGGGCGTAGTTCCAGCCATTGCTGGTAGTTCGGCCTATCGAGATGCAGTGAAACGGGGCAGACAGTAGTGAGCCAATGTTAGCTCACAAAAGCACATGCGGGCATGTAGTAAAACACAAAACAACATGTAGTGTTGACTCAAGCCGCCAAAAGCCGCCAAAAGTGCAAGTGCAAATTACTGGTGGTTACAATTACTATTACTTGTAGTCACTGTTACTGCTACTGTTACCTAAATGCAGGTAGTTACATATGGCCATATACAAACTGTTGTGGTTGATGTGCAACAGTTGTGAAACAGTTGTTGTTCGTAGTGCTAAACACGTATGCCAATGCTCTGTATGAGCCTCTGTAGTGTTTCTTTGCTAATGTATTTTGTGAACAAGCCTGAGCTGTGTGTAGTGTGTTGATTTTGAGGATTCTGATGATGTCGTGCTTGATGAGGTCTTGTGTGTAGAGAAATTTAAGGTCGATGTGTTTTGCTCGTTTGCTAGTGCCTTGTCGTGTAGCAATGCTCTTGCCTGCTGTGGAGTCTGTGTGGATGCGTAGATTTAGCTTGCTGCAAATGTTGGTTTCAAGTAGGAAGTTTCTGAGGTGTAGTCCCTCATTAACTCCTGTGCAAATGGCGTAGAGTTCAGACTCTGCTGAGCTGAGTGCTATTGTAGCTTGTGTTCTGCTGCCAAATGCAACTGTTGTTCCTAAAAAGATGATGTTGAAACCTGAAGTTGATTTCCTGGTAGTAGGGCATCCTGCCCAGTCGGCATCGACATGAACGTCGAGATCCAGGATGTTGTTGGTGTTTGCTCTGAGTGTTGTTGTTGGTTCTATGGTGAATTTGTAGTGCTTGGTGCCGTGCAAGTAGCGTAGTAGATGTTTGACTCTCTTTTGTGAAAGTTCTGTAGGTGCTGTGAGGTCTCGTGCTAGTTCTTTTGTGGAGTATGCAATGTCTGGTCGTGTGTATGCTAACCATTGTAGTTTGCCAACAATCCTTCTGTACCTTTTGTGTTGTTCGTGGTCAAGTAGTGCTTCATCTTCTATTGTTGGTTTGTAGTGTGCAATTCCTGGAGTGTTCACTGAGTTGCAGTTGTTCATTCCAGACTCCTCGATCATGTTGTCGATGTAGGAGTCCTTTAGTCCCAGGTTGCAGTAGTTGCCAAAGTGGTCGATGTTTCTTGCAAGAAATTGTTGTGGTTTGCCAGGCTCGAGGTAGCCGATGTGCTTGAGTAGGACCTGCTTCTGGATGGCCTCGAAGGTGGAGTCGACAGTAGCCTTGTCACCAAGTACCAAGAGATCATCCACGTAGACCATGATGTAGCAGTCGCGAGTCGCGTTGGTGTAGACGTTAGGTTCTGACTTTAGTCTTACAAAGCTGAGTTTTTGTAACACTTCAGCCAGGTAGTCCTGCCATGCTTTTGGTGAACTGCGTAGTCCATACAATGGCTTTCTTTAGTCGCCAGATTTTGTCCTGTTGTGGACAAAGTTCTTTAGGTGGCCAAAGGTAGACGTCACGTTGTTTACCGTCGTGGTCTTTTGCGATGGGTGCGTGTAGAAATGCTGTAGAGACGTCACCTAGTCGCGCTATCCAGTTTGGTCGTGACATTTGTAGTGCGAGAAGTGTCCGGAGTGTCGTGAGCATTGGTGTAGAGGCGTAGACGGAGTCTTCGTCCTCAATCTTCTCGGTGTAGCCTTTTCCGACGATTCGGCTTCGTACTCCTGGTCCTTCTTTCTGTGTACCCATCTTGTAGGCATCGCTTCTCTGCTGACGTTGTCGTCGACGGTAGACGCATCTACTTCGTCGTAGACGTCATCTAGCTTCATTTGATTTGACTCGTGTTTCATTCCTTCCAGTAGTTGTGTTTCGTCGTAACCTTCGTTGTCGAAGATTATGGGTTGGTCTTCTGAGGTGTCGTCGTTTGTGTAGGGTGTGATGAACTTGCCGTTGGGAAGTGTCACTGCGTTAATTTTCTGTCGTAGTGGTGGTGGTTCTTTGGTTGCTTGCTCCGTTGATCTGATTGTAGTGTCCTTTGAGGTCTTCTGTGCTTTAGTGGGTTGCATTACTTCTTCCGGAGTTAAACGTCGTAGTGTTTGTCGAGGTGGTGCTGGTAGTGGTGGATGTTGTCGTCCGGTTGGTGAAGTAGCCATCGGACTATCCGGTAGTGGTCGTGAACTTGACGTCGATGTTGACGGAAGTCGTGGAGGTGGTGTGGTGCGTTGTTGTTTTGTTGCGGGTTCCGCAACGATGTCGTCCGTAGCGTTCGTTTGTTGTCCGAAATCTTGCGTGGACCTTCTTTTCTCTGACGGTGGTAGTTGCGCATCCAACAGTGTTGCGAAGGATGGGTTGTAGGTGTTCCGTCGTGGTGCCCACGGTGTGCCGGAAACTTTGTTCAATAGTGCGAGGTCGTATTTGAAGTCCGGTTGTAGTCTCCGCACTGTTCGTACCTTTTGTACGCCTGATTCTGTTGCGACGTAGTTTTCTCCGGTTTCGGAAACTTTTCCGAGCCAGATGCATTTCTGCATCCGTAGGTCTGCTTTTGGGAGTTTCTTGTGTTGTGGTGGAAGGTAGAGTAGTGTCTCGCCAAATTCGCAGATTGCTCGCTCGTAGTTTCTTCCCCAGCGGCGTTCAAAGCTTGTGTAGCCGTCTGAGTGGATGACGTAGCGATTTACCGTCCATGCTGCATGTCGTACTATCCAAGGTAGTAGACAGTGCTTTGTGGACATCGTCATGCTGTAGTTGCTTTCAACCTGAGCTTTGACGACGCGGATTTGTCCGAGGAGTGTTCTATGTAGTCGCTCAACGCTTCCTTGACTGTTGCTGCTGTAGGACGGTGAATGTCGTACAGTCATTGAGCCGACTTTAGATGCTGTTGCTTGTAGTAGTGCATTGAGTGTGTCTTCGTTGTCGCTTTGTAGTATGCCGTGTGTTCTTCCGCATTCAAAGATGAATGCTTGTAGGTTGTTGATCATGTAGTCCATCATCGATGGTTTGTCCGGAACCAATACCGCCATGCACAGTTGTGTAGTAACATCAACTGCCGTTAAGACTGGTATGGTCTTCGGATCTTGTTGTGATTTGATGTAGGCAAAATCCACTTGGATGATGGGTTGTCGTGATTGGTGTTTCTTGCAGTTGTCCTGGCGTCCTTTGCCTTGAACGCAAATTGGACACCAATTTCTGTATGGTAGGTGTGTCAAGTTGTGTTCTGCTATTTGTTGTGGAGTGGGCTGCTGAGGTTGTCGTAGTCCTATTGCTCTGTGTGCTTCATGATGCTCGTGTTGTTGTTCCTCATCGTGGTTCTCTTGGATGTACTCGTAGTCTTTCTTCACGGTGAACCTTGTTGTTCCTTTCCATTGAAATGGTAGTGCTGCGTTGCCCATGACTGTCCAGTCATCTTTGCGTTGTGAAACTTCTCCAAAGTTGTTGTGAGTGATTGTAGTTCTGTGAGGTTCAAGTGTGTTGATTGGTGGATGTCCTGGTCCATCTGTTGGAGTGAATAGGGTTGTTCTAAGTGTTGTGTGGTGTCTTATCCAGTGTTCACCTTGTCTTTCCCAGTAGTCTTGGTTGTCCTCCTGTGCTGTGAGTGGTCTGTGGATTGTCTCCTTTGGTTGTGTGGTGTCAAGATTGGTAGAAGGTGCTGCTTTAGGTCTCCATATCTTTTGTGGTGCTCGCAGTTGGATCGTTGATCTGGTTGGTGGTGTGTCCATTAGCCGTTGTGGTTGTGAGCTCTGCCTTGTTGGTGTTGTCTTTGATGTTGCTCTGGGTGTAGGTGTTATCTTTCTTCTGAATCTGGTTTCTCCAGTCCAGTTGTCACCTTCTAGTCTTCGTTGTAGTTCTTGCTTGGAAAGTTGTGTTGGATTCTCTTGTAGTTGTTCTTGCTCTTGCCCTTGTCTGTTGATGATGGTTTGTCGCCAATCATCTAGTTCTCCTTCAGGTATTGGGCAACCGCTGTTGTGTGGTGTGAATAGTGCTTTGCGTGGTCGTTTGTGTACTCTGATGGCGTAGTCACGTCTTCCTGCTCCTGTGTTGTTCCCGTAGTTGTGGCTCCTATTGTTTCCTCTGCTGTGGGCCCGTTGTCTGCTCCTGTAGTTGGTGTTCTCCTGACATGTCGTAGTAGTTGGGCATGTGGTTGCCTGTGCAGTTGTAGTACTTACTGCTGTTACTGGAGCTCCCCTATGTTTAGGATCTCAGCTCCGCTACCACTTTAAAATACGTTGGTACTTTACTGCAAGTGCAAGTGTTGTTTCTGTTATCACAAACACAAATGTAGTTAGCCAACATGCACTCTTCTCCTGGTAGACTCAAGGCCTGCAGTCGGGTAGTGTACATCATGCATGCACAAGTGACAAGTAGTGCAACATGATATTTGACATCTCTCCCTCCTGTCTCTCTCTCTCTCTCTCTCTCTCCTGTCTCTCTCTCTCTCTCTCTCTCTGTCTCCCTTGCATCCTGGAGCAGGCCACTCTCATCCCGCCAACTCAGGTAGCTCACTAGTCAGTGGCAAGTGCCAACACTGAAAGTTTTGCAGTCCCAACTCTGTCGCAGCCTTCTCCGAGACAGTGCCCTTGGAGCAGCAAATGAGGGCCAAGAAGAACTCGTGAATGCTGACCCGCTTCTCGCGGGGCACCATAGAGAAGCGATCAAAGATCAGCTGAGCATATTGAACCCACGCATCTCCCATCACTTTGCGGAGGTTCCTTAGCAAGCTCTGGAACAAATCGATTGGCACGAGAGTCGAATTCAGGCCTGTGAGAAGTTGACAAAGAATACCGTGCAACTCGGATCCAAAAAAATGGTGCCCACGCCTGAGTCAGTCTTAGATTTTCGCCTCCCGACTGAGGCTCCTTAACGACAGCCTACAACGCCCTTTGTACCACACACAAACACACCCACCATACCAAAGCAGCTCCACAAACACAAGCCCGAATTAAACGAAACCCACTGGCGCCAAGCAGCGATTGCCACGTGGCGGAGTCCAGGAACTGAGGCTCCAGCATGGCGCCGTACGGTGCTGGCACCGGCACCAGCCGCAGCTGCGCCTGGGTCTGCAGCTGGGGCGTGGTCTTCTTCACGGTGGTGAAGTGCTCCCACAGCATCGTGCCCCAGGCAGAGACCTGCCCGCACAACCGGTGAAGTATGGACTGTATGACCAGGACTTTCCCAAGTCTGCTGGAAAAAATGGCGCGCGTCCATGGGCTGCAAAACAGCGCGATCGTCATTCTGTCTGCGAACATGAATCTTCAAACAGCGCCACAGTCGCGGCAGCTGTGCTCGGTGGGGGACAACAAAGCAAGACACGCTGTAAAAGATTGGAAGAAACATGGACGCCGGACATCTACATCTCACTTCTCCCCGCCGGTGACAAGCGCCGTCTTAACGACTGTGGCCCGCCTGGCCCGCCATGCTGGCATCCACATCCGGGCTCAGGCGCAGAATCTCCAAAGGCATCTGCCGCAGGATGCCCGCCATGTTCGTGGGCTGCGCCTTGTCCGTTACGAACCTGGCCAGCAAAGTATGGACCGAGCCTCTAAACGACCTTTTGCGTGAAACTCACGGGATGACTGCTAAGGCTGGGAAACAAACTGACCAACGTTTCCGGGCTCCGAACATTTGATCCTGTTGGTTTCCCGAGCAAGTGCCACAAGCATCACTAGCAACATCCCTGCATCAAAAAAGACTAGCATTACCAACACTTGAGGATCATCAGCAAGTGGCTTGTGTTTTGAGGGCAGCTCCTCAGATGCCAAAACATTGTGTGTGGTTGTATCACCGTGGCACGCGAAGCGTAGTTGTTTTGCTTCCTTTCGGGCCGTTCTTCGGCCGTCGACCCCAAAATCATCCTATATAAACAACCGCAACCCTACCCTGAATCAACCCAGGGCTGGCCCCCCCACCTAAACCAAACCACTTTCAGTGCAAGGCAAGCCTCCTCTTACAAGCCTCGGTGTCCAGAGTTTCAACCTGCCTGTACCAAGCTGGGCACCCCTAACACACAACGAGCTTCTTTACTCAATCCAAACGCTTCTAGGCCTTTGCTGTGCCAAATGTATTTCACCCACCCTCGTCATCACACACAAAACCACAACTTGCCAGCCTACACCCCCATAGAAAACCAGTTGACGTCATCCTCGCCAAAAACATGCTCCTGGGTGAAACACAGTGTTTCCTTTTACCTTCATCTGCGGAACCACATTCTCCCGATTTTCCCCATGCACCATTTGCAACACCCGGATTTCACGCAGCTCAACTGTTCTCACAAAAGGAAACCACAAAGAAACATCACTAACCACAAGAACAACACCAAAACCACGAAGCACAATGCTGCTTCGCAGATTTCCCTGTACCTGGCCATGCTGTCAATCTGATCTTTGTGGGATTTACAGATTTACATGACAAGCAAATGTGAATAGACTCCATTTGAAGGGATACCTATACGGCTTCCAAAAATAGTTGTGCTGTCATATTGGCTGTTTTCTTGAGTTCTCTTGGAAAAATCCTCTTCCATGCAAAAACAAAAGAAAAGTGAAAAGCTTGGCCCAAACGGACCGCAATGTGCAAACTCGCCACTCAGGCCGCCAAACGATGCCAGACGAATGGATCGTCCCAAATGAACCATAAACATGTGACATGTGGCTTGCCATGTTAAAACCTATATAGTTCTGGCAAGTGCAAAGGTGCCTCTGCCAACGGATGCGAAGTCTGAATGACCAACTGTATGGTCACAAGTGAGCCAAGCTGCTGGTGGAGCATCGCAGTGATGACCTTCATCACGCTGCGCGTCGTGACTCTCTGGTCAGAAGTGGTGCCAGTGCTGTTTGCGTTGGCGTTGGAGTTGGTCATGGTGCCGCCGGCCATTCCACCCACATCTCCGTTCCGCGTGAGGTCCCGCAGGACCTTGTTTTGCTCCCTGGCGCGGCTCGGAATCTTGCCGTGAACATGGACCCTCCATCATCATTCGAAATGCACCGCAGCGCAATTCACAAAGAAACAGCTTACCCTTTCAAGGAAGCAAACAAGCCAGGTGCATGTGCGCCTGAACTGGTAGAAGTACTCCTCCCAGTGCTTCACGGACTTCTCGTAGTCCATGGTGTGCAGGGCGCTCAGGCCCACCTTCTCCGGCATCTTGTGCTTGGCGTCGTCCCACAGCTGGTACTCCGCGGCCACCACCAGCTCCACCAGGTACGTGGGGTCGTACAAGGACTCGTAGAAGTCCCGCAGGCAGTTCTGCACCTCCATGGCGCTCTGGCACTTCAACACGGCCTCCTTGCAAGCGACCAAACCTGGCACGGGAGGAAGCGTGAGGAAGCGTGAGGAAGCGTGAGCAAGTCTGGAGGTCAGAACCTCTCCGTGCGCGGGTCTGATCGCAGAAGACCCCCCCCCCCCCGCGCCAACAAAGCCTAGCTGCCGACCAACTCAGTCGGGCAGTGGGTCAAACCCAGCGATCCCAACCCCCAAGCTCCGGCCTCCCCACGCCAGATCGATGAGCCCATGACGTGGAGGCTTGTGGGTGGGCGGATTGGGACGGCAAGTGTCCGCCAGCAGCATGTCCCAAAAGCGGAAGAGGCTGGTCACTGGCAAGGAGAAGGAAAAGAGCCGCATGAAAGCACCGTAGAACACCTGGGCAGCCAAAGGGGCTCTGCCAAATCGATAGGATCCCTGCCACCAAAAATGATAAATTGTTCTCAAACAGGACCTGGATCCATTCAAGATGATATGATTCTCGCACTGGAAGCCACGCAAAAGCTGCAAAGAAGGCAACATCCACAAAACAATAACCACTACCAACTCATTCATCAGCGTGTGCTGTGTGTTAATGCGTTGTCTGTCATGTCGAGTTTGTTCGCCCCACATACGGTTTGTCCCCGAAAAGGATATTCTTCTACAAACGATGGCTGCGGGGTTTCGTGTCAACTCTGAAGCGGTACCTCGACATAGTTTGGGGGGAGGAAAAGGAGTCTCAGCCATTCGTCCGGCGTACCGAGGGCAGCTGGAAGCCCAAGGCGTTCATGTGAACCCAAAGCTCCGGCTCGAAGCGGGACACGATGAAGCTCAGGCGGTGCAGGTCGTCCATGGCGCCGCGACGGTCCGCAATCTGCACCTCATGGCCTGGGAGCGGAGTGTCCGCGAGGCAGAATGCTCTTCGGCTGTGTGTCACTGACATGGTTGTGCGGGATCTGCCCATGTCTGTATAACACAATGCTGGCAACACAGACAGGCCCGGCAGGAAACGCAAGTGCAGCTTACATGCCCCTTGGTCCCGTAACGCTCCAGCAAGCGCTCCACACTGTAAGACCTTCCCACGTGCAAAGCCTGGCGCCTCGTTCCAGTCAGGGTCACCACATGACACTGCAGTCTACAGTTTTGCCGTTCTACCCTTTCGCACTAAGCTAGGCACTTCCTGCACTCTTCGCAACCCTGGGCAGGCCGTAGTAATCCCTGAACGGCTGATTTCCGGCACCGGTGATGGCATAGAGGATCCAAAAGGCTCGCACCTCTGCTTCCTCTTCTTCCTTCGTCTTGGGCTTGTCCCAAGCATCCTTCGGAACTGCAATTTTCCGCAACAACCCCCCAAAAAAAGACAATTCCTACTCCTCCCCTAGGCCCCCCTTTCCCCCCAGAAAAAAGGATGAGCCTGCCTAGCCAAGCCATAGGGGCTGGGAACAACTAGCCTGGAAGCGGAAGCGCTGATTCACTGGGGCAGTCGCAAAGCTGGAAAGGGGACTTGATTGCTTCGCTTTAGAGAGCCTTTGCTTTTTTGCTGCTTGCTTGCTTGCTTGCTTTCTTGCTTGCTTGCTTGCTTCCTTGCATGCTTGCTTGCTTGCTCGCTTGCTCGCTTGCTTGCTCGCTCGCTCGCTCTTCCTTGCTTCCTTGCTTCCTTGCTTCCTTGCTTCCTTGCTTCCTTGCTTCCTTGCTTCCTTGCTTCCTTGCTTCCTTGCTTCCTTGCTTCCTTGCTTCCTTGCTTCCTTGCTTCCTTGCTTCCTTGCTTCCTTGCTTCCTTGCTTCCTTGCTTCCTTGCTTCCTTGCTTCCTTGCTTCCTTGCTTCCTTCCTTCCTTCCTTCCTTCCTTCCTTCCTTCCTTCCTTCCTTCCTTCCTTCCTTCCTTCCTTCCTTCCTTGCTTCTGCTTTTCTTGGGCTTGGCTGTTGCAGGTTTGCGAGGTGCAGTGCGCTCCCATCCCGCACTCCCCACCTCCGCCGCTGAGATGGGCGTCTGCGCGACAATGAGGTGGAAGGCCAAGAGCAGCAGGGACTCGCAGTAGGCCACGCCGCAGCAGCTGCGGCTCCCTGTGGCGTCCACCTCCTCAAAACTAAAAACGCAAGCGCCCGCTCTACGCGTGGAGCACAACGTAGGTTAACCGGCTACCCACCTCTGGATTAAGCAAAAGCTAGCAGTCAATAGCTCTGGCAGTATGAATAACAGTTGCCCTGGCCCTGCTTGTGCCTCCCTTGCTGCTGACAGTTCCTACACTTGCGGTAGACGATGCAACTCTCTAGGTCATTCTGCTACGCATAATTGTACCGCCAATGCTGCTTCATTGCCTTGCGAATGCTCTTCACTTGCGCAAGCATGTGCGGTGCTGGCCACAGCGAAATCGTCGGTACAAACACTGTTCAGCACATCTAGGCTATTCACGCGCTCAGACAAAACAATCTTGCAAAAAGCCTGGTAGTATTCTGTGAAAGCAATGCATCACTGACAGATCCCGCCTCCAGGTCTGAGTAGTTTGGCACCCCTGAACTTCCGCCCATGGGATCGTCCTGCCCACCAAGATCTCACGACTCAACCAACCCGAGGTGGCACGCGGTCTACGGCTTGGCTGGCATCACTTGCTCATAGCATCTCACAGCGTGATTGGGCATGCTGCCTTGCAGGATGCAGCAGCAACCAGCAGCGGCTGCGCAGTACAGCAGTAAAAACCCTTCTATAACATGCAATGGCAACACGTTGTCCCAAACATGGCTCCATTAGCTTGGGTGCCCTGTCTGCAGTGCCTTGCCCCTCCTTGGAGAAGGCAATGAGCGCCACACACACATCCTGCGCCCGCTTGATGCGCAAGAAGTGCCGAGCCATCGCGGTGTGGTGGCTTGGCCTCGCAAATACGCTTTTACAACTCAACTCAGGCAATCGGAGCCTGTCAAGGCAACAGGCTCGTGTAGTGGCGTCGGTTCAACCAGAACGCTCAGCTGAACTATGCCAACCGGCGCAGCGCAACATCATGGCCTGGCCCTTTTTGAGCCGAGCTGCTTCTCCCAGGCCGCTGCCGCCACCATGTCTTCATGCAGCTGCCACATGGCGTCGTTGCGGTAGGGGCGGCCCACCTCCAAAAGCCTCCAAACAGAAGAAAAGGAGCTGGCAGGAACTGGGATGCGTTCCACGCTTTCCATGCTTTCCATGCGCTCTCAAAGCTGTCTCCATGCTTTTCCTCTGCCATTCTCCCTATCCCTTCCGCCTGCGGTAGAATGCCACGGGGCTGCTGCCCTTGTCCTCCGTCCGGCGCTTCGGCTCCTGGGCCCAAAGGCTATGGCTCGGAAGGTGACATGCCTCGATGGGAGGGCCATCCGAGTCCCATCTATGCACGACTTGAGGTGGGGGTCCATTTGCGGATCACTGCTAGCACCAGGCCCGCCAACAATCTGTGAAGCCTCGAAATAACTATAGCCAAAGAATCGGTGTGTTCTCTGACGACGCGGGATGCCATGTTGCAACCCTTGATGTCGAGTCGCGCCTTTCCCACAACAAAATCCAGTAGAAGACAAAAAGCTGAACTCGACGACTTGAAGCAAGGATTTTCCTACGTGCCCATCTGGCAGACCAGCCTGAATACTGTTGAAAGGACAACCTTCTTCGAGCACCTTACTGCCCTAAGCCAGTTTACAACAAGCCACAGCAAACATGGCCGGCCCCACTGGCCAAGGCGCCCAGTTCTCGATCCATCGCTGCTGCAACTCTTCGGCCCCAGCGATCTCCATCCAAATCTCCCGGCGCAGGTTGGCTGGCACCCCGCGGCGCATCAGCTCATCCATCCTCGGTGCCCGAACGACAGCGAAGCTCTTATCTCTGCGAACGGGGCAATGTACGTATGACAAAACAGTCACGGTCAAGATCCTGCTAGCCTCCAGAACAATCGCATGGAAACGGTTTCGAAGGCTCGAACCTGCAGCCGACTCATGGAAACAGAACAACATGGCACCATGAACCTCTGCCCAAACAAACCACTTGGAGCTCGCAGCTCCAGGTGGAGCCACCCCCCCCCCCCCCCGCATACCGAAGCCCAAGCAGCTCATAGAGCATCTTGGTGTCCAGCCTGTCCGGGTGGGCCCAGTCCCTGCGCCAGGCGCTCAGCGGCTTCCGCTCCGCCTGCGCTGTGCCCGAGTCTCCACAGGTACGGCGGAGCCGTATCCCGGGTGCTTTTGATGCGGGACCCAGGACACGGGACAGCTTGTTTCATATCCAAAAGGGTATGCGCAGTGTCACCGAGTTTTTTGACTGAGTGTAGTTTGGGCATGTGCAACTGGGAAGTATCCATTGGCCAGGCCAAAGTGAATAACATCGCTCGCAAAAGCTCTGAAAGAGAGTTTGTAATTACGCATCATTCTGACTTTACCCTGGCGCGCCGTCTCGTCATCGATCTTGGGGCTCATACTGTCCAGCTTGATGCGGAGGTCGCCCCACGCAGATCCTTGGTTCGTGTTGGCTGCAGCCAGCTCCAACAAAAGCCTTTCGGAAACGTTCACAAAACAGGATATTGGTATATTCGGATATGCTCAATGCTTGTTGTCATATTGAGCATGCACATGGCCATCATGCCAAGAATCTTTGCTGCCGCTCATAGCAGTCCAAGTAAGGCACGCTCTCGAACATCTTCTGCATGTGATTCAGCTTGGCATCATTGAGCCCCTCCGGAGTTCCCCCCCTGTGCTCGTAGAGGTTGGGGTCATAGCCCCTCACCCAAGCCTGCACATCGTAGATGGGGTCGTGCATGGAGGTGCCCTTCAGCGCCTGCTTCAGCTCAAAGGTCTGCCAGCCTCGCACCGTCCGCGGGAGGCGACGGATGTATGCCGTCTCCACCGAAGGCCGCCAGATGGTCATGATGTGCAGCTCCCCGTAGGCCTTTGGATTCAACTTGGCGGTGGACGGCTCGATCGTCGCGAGTGGAAGCCACAAGTTGTTGAACAGCTTCTTGGCATCGCTGAGGTCGAGAGTCGGAGCGCCACCCAAGAATTCCGGCTGGAACGTTGCTCCAAATACTGCCATCCTGGTCAGACAAGGGGAATGCACAAATTGGCTCCCGCTCCGGCTGCCACAGCTCAATCACTCACACTTTTGTTTGCGCTTGAGCTGATGCCCTACGCACAAACTGCAAGACCGCAAGACTGCAAGATCTTTTCACTTTGGCCCTTGCCTGATCATCCCCAGCTTCTCATACTTGCGGGAAGACAACTCGATCTCCAGGTACAAGTTCTTCATGGACGCCTGCTCCAGCAAGGGGCTCTTGAAGACCCAACCATTGGAGCCCTTGAGCTGTTCCTGCTCGCACCACTTGGGGTTGTTCCCTGTGAGGGCTGGGGCACGCTGGATCTTGGAGCCCTTGTAGATGAGATCTCTTGCCTAGGGCACAGGTTCAATGCAATGAATGAAACTGCTGCTGGTCATACATGACTGGCTCACCAATTGAAACTACTCTTCAAAAACGGCATGCCGGGGCCAGAAGCCCCCTGCCTTGCCATCCTCCTCGATGTTCTTCAGCTTGAAACTGGCCTCAACCTGGAGGTCCAGCTGAAGGCTCTTTGAAATCGCTGTCTGCAGGTCCTGCTCCTGCTGTACCCGAGTAGGCCGCAGGTGCTTTGCTTCCACAAGGATTACCTCCAGGTGTCCGCTCTGGGAGGAGTAAATTTGAGAATCTAGGTAAGGTCGGTTGTTCAAGGCATAGACGCTCTTTTGCTGGAACTCCTTCAACTTCTTCACCTGCTGACTGATGTCCATGCGGGTGGCCTGCCGCAGCATGGTGATGAAGTGGAACATGTCGGCCTCAGTCCTCGCGTTCAGCTGGAGTGACCACTCGTACTGACACTCTGCCGGGTTGGCATCCGGCGGCAATGGACCGGCAGCGATGCGGTAGCTTCCCCGGTGACCTCCCAGCACTGTCATGTCATCCACAGACCCATCGATGAGACGAGGGTTGTAGTCATTCCCCACCTGAGGCACTTTGGGGGGGAGGTGTTGGCGCATGTCAAACTATCATACCAAGGCTTCAATAAAAATGAATAGAAATCGTCGGAAACCGATAAGAGTTCCACATACCCCTTGTGGCCTTGTGCGGGTGGATGCGTACAATCTCGTCTGTGGTGGTGATGGCTGCATCGTAGATGTTGAAGCTGGCAGCCTGCACGCTGGCAAGACTTCCGAGAGCAATGCCCTTGAGCAGAACGCGGCGCCGCACGCGCTCCCCCACGTCCCCTGCGCCGACAGGGGCTGCACGGATTGCAGTGTCAGAGATGTCCATATGCTCCCCGATCACTACGGAGCCCTGCAGGGAGAAAGGCTTGTGGGGCGCAGACTCCCAAGCCGCCACAAAGTTCGAGGCCAGCTCTACATCGCAGGTCTGGTCCGGGTACACCGCCAGAACAGTCACTGGGATGTGGCGTGTGAGGTGCGTGAGCCGCTCCACCACCTGAGTCAAACGGGCCCAGCGGAAGGAGAAACGGCTGTGGCTGCTTTTCAATTTGATCAGTCCTAGATGGGGAAAATCCAACAATCGCAAAGGACTAACAAGAGTGCAAGTCACCCACCCTAGCAAGACCAGTCCATCCAAACCCATGGGACACCCCGCCTGGGGTGTGTGCTTCATCTCCCGTTCCTCGCTGGCGGCCTTCTGCAGGTCCGGCAGGTTCTGGGCCACGATGCTGTCCACAATCCTCCAGAAAGTGCCTGCGATGACGGAAGAGTGAGGATATGAAGCACCTTTGCACCAGCAACTGGGAGGTTCACGAGGCTTTTGCGTTTGCCTGAGGCCTGTAAACTTCTCCAAACTGGGCATGTGCTTTTATAAAACTGACCGTGTCAGTAGCTTCACCCGAGAGAGAAAGGTCCAAGAAGCGTTCAATGCTGCAATCCTCAATTTGACTCAAGGCTTGCTTGATGGAGCTTTAAGCAATCCTTCCGGGCTCCGTGGCTTGAGCTCCAAAACAAAACACTGTGTGGACCGTCTGAAACGAGCTTGCCATGCTGTCACACATGTGCCTTGTTTCTTGTGTGGAGCCCGCTTTGAAAAGGAGTTGAAACAAGTGTTGACAAAGATTCACACCTGCTTTTATTCTTTGGATTTGGGAACCTTTTGACAGCTGCTGCAAGGTAGAAACATCAGTGTTAATACCTCTTCGTGGTAGTGGGTTGTGAAGCATTAACATCAGGTTTGATTTTTTTCCCATGTCGACTCCTTTGGGGAAATTAAAGCATTGTTTAGGGAGCCAACTTCTAAAAAAGCATTCAAACTGATGTCAATTCTTGGCAGCTTCTGAAAAGAATTAAACCTGATGCATTGTCTTTGGCAAATCGCTTTGAGTAGACAAGGGTTCCGTGTTGCGGCATGGGCTGGACTTGGCAGATCGGCTTGAGTTGACAAGGGTTCCGTGTTGTGGCATGGCTTTGAGCTGGAGCAATGTGACAGCATATCATCGAAATGCGTTGATGCCATGAGCCGGAGCGAAGTCAGAAAAGAGATGACATGGGCTTCGCCTTGATTTGTGTGACACGGGTGCTCTCTTTGACCTCGAGAAGTCACGTGCCTTCTTTTTTAATCTCACTCCTCTTGGAAGCTAGAGTCTCTAGCGGGCAGGTTGCAATTTAGCGAGATGGAACTTCGAAAGAATTCCAAGAAGTAATGAAAACTAGGGTTGACATGAGTGATACAGGGCCTCGCAAAGACTAACCCCCCATAATTATAAGGGGAGAGATCCTCTTGTATCACAGAAGTGGGAATAAACCCCTTGAGCCCACAACCCTGATAAAAACCAGTGCAATTATTGCGACACGATGAAGAAGAAGATTCGTCTGTCTCATCTAAACGCTTGTGCTTTGCTTGTCTAAGCGACGTACAAGTTTGGCTGCCTACGGCCCTGAGAAGTCATTCCTAGACACGACGTTGCATAGAAATAACTAACACTGGTTGCATGTTTTTACAAGCCCACAAGTGACCATGGGCAGCTAAAGAATTTAACGGGCCCTCGAATAGCGGCTGATGTCAAAGAACTAAAACCAGTTTTACTAGTAATCGACACTTGCTCCCCATCCGTTGCCTGGCTTCACCTGGCTCTGGAAGTCCGCCTCCGTTGTTGGCAGGACAAACTTGTGAGGCACCACCTGGCGAGGACGGCCGCGCTGCCAATGGGCCATGGCACTGAGAATGCTGTGCTTTGGCATCTGGGGAACCCTTTCAACAAAGGCAAAGCAGCCCAAAACGGTAGAAAGCCTTTGGCAGGCCCTCACTGCATCCCCAACCACACAAACACCACCTACATGGGCAAAGTACGTAACGCCCCGCCTCGTCATGGGTGTTGGACATGTAGCGCTGCTTGAAGGGGACAGGCGGGTCCAGCTTGTCAAAGCCGCTTGCCTGACGGCAAGCTCAAGTCTTCGCCCAGCTCACCTGCTCCTGATTTCGAAAGCCCTACAGGAGTTCGACCTTGCAAGCCTTCCCAGAGCCCCTTCAATCGCACCCAAGCTTGGCACCAAAGAGCCCTCAACCAACAGCAGCCAGATCCAAATTCAAACAACAATTCAACCTTGAAGTGGCCCCCTGGTCAACCCGCAGCTAGGCATAACCTCTCCCCAAGCCAGCCCAGAACAGGCTAAACCACCCCTGTTCCAATTCAAATTCAGCGGGGCTCAAGCTAGGACATGCTAGGACTATCATTAAATATGGGGCTCACACCAGCTTACTGGTGCTGGGCATCTTGCAGCATGTCCCCCACACCCCCTCTTCCAACCAACTGCCCGTCCAACCAGCCAACCGACCGACACTCCCCCTCTCTCTGTTTCGCATCCTCGAGCCGAACCTTTGTTTGTCTGTCAGCCAACGCTAGGCAGAAAAATGCAAAAGGCTTGGATTGCTGAAGGGGCCTAAATAAAGAAAAGAGCGTGGTGCAAGCCTAGACAAAAGCCAAACATGTCTTCCTTCCCCACAGGCGCCTTGTACTCATAAGAGGCACAAGGATCCCGCAAAGGCGCGGCCCAGGACTCGTTCCGCCGACGTGTGCTATCAAACCTCGGCAACAAATGGTGAGATCATGGCCAATGGCCATTCCTTTTGGTATACAAAAAGCGCACCAAGCTCCCATTACCGCTCCCAGGGGCTGACACGGCCCTTGCGGCCAGGGGGCTCACCGGGGAAGCCGCGACGACGGAATTCCACCTGTCTAGCTGTGCTCCCAAGAAGAAGGGGGGCCAGGCGCTACCCCACCAACACAGGATTGAGCTCAATTCGATTGAAGCCCTACGCTTCCAACAACACAAAACTGTTTTAGGCAGCCGCGCACCAGGCCGTGCCTCGTTGATTGGATAGCTGATAGGCTCCTCCACTCGAAGCATGGCCTTGTCCCCCACGCACAGCACGCCAGCACGGCTGGCATCCTGAACGCTTACTTCGTCACAAATGTCCGTCTCTCGTTTGGGGGGCGCCGCATGCCGCATGCCAGGTGAAAGCAACTCGGCGTTCGCATCTGCTTCAGTGGCCCCAAAGCGACACAAAGCACATGAAGGAGTGGGCGTGTTTTCCCCCGCCTGCGCTCCGCGGAGGCGCGCGTAGTCGCGGTCCCGCAGGGCAATGTCCATGATGACCACCGCCGGCGCCTCCACGGGGCTTAGCTCGTCCTTGGACACGCCGTAGGTGGTGGGCGGCGCCTTCCGGACAGACCCCAGGGCCGCCACCGCCGCATTTTCTGTTGCTGGAAACATGTAGCATAACGCTTTGAATGGCCTGACATGGCCTGGAATCCTACAAAGAAGAGGGCGAGGAATATTGACAAAGCCCGAGCAACTGGCCTTATTCTCCCCAGTGTGTGTGTGTCTTGTTGTTTACTTATTTGTTGTGTGTTCTTTTCTTTTGTTGGTGTGAGTGCATGGGTGCGTTTGCGCGCAGGTGATGCGCAAGCTGGATATTGTTCTGAAGGAGTGAGTTGCTGCAGACGACGCCAGGGCGCCTTGGACTTGGCACAGGGCACGCTGGCCGCCTGCCGCGAGAAGTCCAGCGTCATGCCTGGCCGGGCGCTACAACCCCCCCCATTCCTCTAACAAGTTCATAGGGTGCATGCACAGTCCATTTATCACGCGAGAAAGGAGAGAACGAGGCAAGGAGGCAAGAAGCTGGTTCCAAGAGACGCGGCATAGGAAGGGAGCTGCGTCCGTGCCGAGCAGCCCTCTAGGTCGAGCTCAGCATGGTAAACCAGCTCCGGGTTGTGGACCGCGGGGCCTTGCTTGCCTGGGACACGGCATAAAAACGGCGCCCAGCCAAGCATGCTCCCTCACAACCTGGAAACCTAATGACGTGCCGGCTGCCGAACTTTCAGCTCCGTTCACCTCAAAGATTGCTCTAAAGCAAGAATTCGCAGCACGACAATTGCTGGGAGCTCGAGGCCGGGAAATTTGCTCTCGGGCAAAATCGAAGGTACCCAGGCATGCATGCAACATTGCCTCAGGTTTTATCTTCCTGCCTCCTGTGCAACGACTTGTTTCAACCAATCTCTCAATGTTGAGATGTTTGAAGGGCAACACCTGCTCTCTTGCGGGCTGCGCATGATAAGCGTTGAATTGGCAATGTGTCATGGGATGATTGACCCGAGACGAGCCTTCCACTCTGAGGCTTCCCAGAACATGGGAGTGGTCAGAGTGGTCAGCGTGTTGGCCGGGCTGCTATCTGTGTTTGCGCCCTCAAGTCTTGCAACTCTTGCCTGCGTTGTTTTTTTTTTTTTAAAGCTTGCGGCAAGCTCCTGTTGCAGCACCTACCAGTACCGGGCATTACTTCGCCTCAAGTTGGGTGGCAAAGGGGGTCCAAACCCATGGCTCCCTTCCAGGCTCTTCAATGATTCAAGACGTCGCTTGACGCACAGTTCCAACCCTTAAACATATCGAAATTATCAAGCCAACTCACCTGTCACGTATCTTTTGTACAAAGCCTTCGAAGATCTAGCGCTTCAGGCAGCTCGGGTTGCGCATTGGCTCGCTGGGGCCCTGTGGCAACCCACAACAAAAAGCAGTATTATGCCAAGTTTGAATGACAACCGTATAACAATTCTTGGTGCCGCCATCAAGCAAGCTGGAGGAAAAGCAAAATGTGGACATGCTTCCGCCCGGCTAAATTGCAGCAGGGGGCCATTGTTCGCCAGTAGCTCCTGCAATGCACTCGCTTTCGCGCAGGACATGCTCCGCAAAGCAGTGTCTGGCTGCCTTTGGAAGCAAAAAAAAGCTGTGTATGCAAGAAGCCTGCATCGCCATGCCTCGATATGCAATGGCATATGCCAAAGATTGGCCTTGAAATGGCCCAATCCGCTTCAACCCCCCTCCCATACCTGTCAGCAACCCTAGCTGTCCGCGAACGTCATGGCAGGCATGTCGCTGATCAGCGAGCGCAGCACCTTCACCGAAACCTGGCAGTGAGCTTGGCAAACCACACGTCTTATCCTGAGCTGGTGACTTGTGTCCATGTTGCCTTTTGGCAGGCCTACCTGTGCAACCCATAATCCAAAATGCCAACCCAGGGCTGGACTCATCAACAAAATGGTGCTGCATGACCGGCCGCGATGTGCGCATTCATTTTTGTATATCGGGTTGGCTTTGTCAGTGCTGCTTTGGATGGCTGTATGGCTGCGATGATTTGCGGCAATGCTACGAGACTAGCTCCAAAGCAGCTCAAAAAACATTTAGGTTTACCCTCCCGGCAAGGCCAAGACTCAGCCAGCGCCAACCCAAAAAGAACCCTCAACCCATCCAAAGCCTTCCCCAGTAACAGAGTTTGGAATGTCAACACACCACATGGGAAAGAACATGGAAGGAGGGAGAAGAACGCTTCAACCAGAGTCACTCGCGATGTACGACAAAGGGTTCAGGGGCCTGACATGCATCCATGTGAAGAGCCTGGCAGAACCGGCATGATCACACAGGAACGATGGCTGCTCCAACAGTAGCGCAACGAACAATCCTCAACTCTCCAGACCATGCTAATTACAGGAAAAATTGCCCCAAGCGAAGAAGATCTGTTTTTCTCTGCACACTCAATGTCCCCCTCGAACGCGGCAAGGCCCCAAACCCTCGGTCTATCACCCTCCTTCGGGCACTCCTCGCTCCAGCTGCCCGGCGGCAGTGGCACGAAGATGCTGCTGTCCTGCGGGTTGACCACACATGACATTGCCCAACAGCGCCCAACTCGAGGAATACCATACAAATCCTCTCACCTTTCCCTGAGCGCAGAACGTCCAACGTGGGAGCTGAAGATAGGACAAGGCAGGAAAGAATCTGCCAAACAAATGTCGCCCATCATCCGCCTTGAAGTAGATCTTGTAGCTGTCAGAGGGCACCACGTAGCTCCAGGATTTCTTGGGTCGGCACATTGCCTGTCCGGCTCTTGCAAAGCCATGTCAATGCTCTTGCAAATGACAGTCAATGCTTTTGCAACGCGTCAAGCCCGGAAATAACGGACGCCTGTTTGCTGGGATATGTGTGATATGGCTCCATGCTTCCCATCCGAAGCTCGTGAAATCTCTCGCCTGGGTGGTGGCCCGCACGCCGTTGCAGGTGGCCTCCACGTAGTACCGATAGAGCCGGGCGTCCTCGGATGGGTCGTCACTGGGGAAGATCAGCTCCTGCGAGACGCGCACTGGTCGGGGTCTCGGGGTCGGCCCTCTCCCCTCGCCAGTCCGCGCAACGTGGGGCACAAACACACACAAGCACAAAGCCCAAAAAAAACAGGTTGGGCAGGCGTTTCGTGAATGCAACGGGGTGGCATAGCAGGCAGAGATTGAAGGATGAAGGATCTGGACTGTCTGCATTGGCCGAGTGTTGACTGCGCAGTTTGGCACTGTCTTCCTGCCGTGCAGGTAAACTCCTCAGCTCTGGGACAGTATAAAGTATAATGGGCCGAACCTCCGTCCTTGACGTTCAGCTCCACCATGCTTGCCACGCTCGCACCTTGCCGACCGCTAGGGTCCATCCATGCCATCTTGTGAGAGGTGAAGAGGTTCACCATGGAGCCTCGTCCCTGGAGCTCAGGCGAAATGGGCGTCCTGGCAGGGCAAGCAACATTGCCTAAACTTGGAGACGCAAACCGATCTGTGCTTTGCTTCTGTGAGCTACGCGCGGATGCCCGGCAGACGCGCGAGGCTGGCGCTGCCAAGTCCTGGGGAGCAAGGAGTTGGCCGCCACCTTGGCAGAGACCTCCAGGTCCAAGTGCGCCTTGAGCGGCAGAATGTCGGACAGGTCCACGGCCGGGTGCATCAGCCACATGCGCTTCACCATCTTCTTACTGCCGCCACGCAGGGTGCTGGCCAGAGACGTCACCTGCCACTTCCGCGCTGTCTGCGGGTTGCAAGGTTGACTGGGCCAGCTTTTTTGGCCCCCTTGTCCACCCACAGGTCCTCCCCCCCCCCGCCTGCTCCTTTACTTCCTCCACCAGCCCCAGCGTTGTCAGGGCACCCTCGCCCAGGCCCAGATTCGTCAAAGCCGTGGCAGTGGGAGGTGGCTCTGGCTTGGGCGTCTCCTCCTGCAAATGGCAAATCTGGTTAGGGGCATTAGGGGCGTGAAGCAAAAAGTTCACACAGCATTGCAGGTTGGGTCACTGGGTTGGGGCAATGGGTGATTGTGCCTGGCATGCAGCAGGCTGTGACTGGACCCTGCGAGCCAAAGCTGTCTGTTCCCCTCGCTGCTCAAGCAGCCACAGTGGCCACTTGCGAATGTAGACGTCTGCTTGGCCCAGCCGTCAATGACAAGGAGCTTTGACTCAACCACATGCCACGTTCGAGACCTGCATGATAGCCACAAAGTCTGTTTCTCATGCGCGTGTTGGAGATACAGATTTCAGCATGGCGCGTGCTATGATTTGATTGTCAATTTGAGCCGCTTGACTTGCCGGCCGGAAAGTCCGCATGTCAGAAAGGGGCTCGGAGATGCAGACTTTGGCCTCCCACTCGGCTCGCCTTGGTCAAACCTGACTCTTGGGTCACATGGTGAAGTGGCCCAAAACATGTCTGCGCTTGCCTAGCGCATCAATCACCGTTTGTTTCTATCAGTCCCAAATCCCCTTTGCAACACAAAGCGCGGACCAAAATCAATCCAAATCGAAAGCGTCCCAAAGCTTCCAGACACGTCCCTCATCAGGTGACACGCGTTTTGTGGGGCCTCCACAGTGAAGACCTTCCAGAGCGGCATCTTGGCAGCCCAAATGGTGCGGTTCGCCTCGGGTTCCAGGGGGTCCTGCTCCACCACCTGCGCGCAGTCTAAACTGCAAGCGCCATGCGTTGATGCGTTTCTTCCATTTCCAGAAGATGGTCGGATACCCCCTTCCATCTAAGGGTTGATTTACCTACCCCTTTGACATACCCCTTTTTTTGCAGGAATACTTGGTGGTTATAAAGGTATTATGTCGCGTGCTTAAAGCCCCCGAAAACAACCAGTGGCGCCAGCTGGCCCCGGCCTCGAGGCCAATCTCCGTGGTGTCCAGCGCTGCGATGCCCAAGTCGCCCACCGGGATGGGGATCTCCGCCACGAACTTCCCCATGTAGGGCCCCTGCGCGCCCAACGCCATGTCTCGATTTGAGTCTGGGCTGGTCATTTCGGTGCTTAAGACTTGTCGGGTCCATTTTGATGACTTCGCTGAGTCGGCGGCTCAGCCAAGTGGGTCGAGCAACGGAAGTGACTGCCAGCAGGCTTTCGGACCAGGTGCTATCTATTCGCATGAAAATACAAAATTCGCATGAAAACAGTGACAACGACCATAACAAGAAAAATAACAACACTGATGATCATCGCAAAAATAACGACGCTATGATACACAATGAGCGCATGCTCGATATGAATTTCCTTCCGGACACCCACGCCTAGGCCTATCAGAAACGTGTTTTCTTGTGCGAATCCGCAGTTTCCCTTGACAGTTGAAGTGCCGCAGACGCAAAGCCATCGCTGCTTCAGCTCTCTCGGGGCGCCTGGTATTGCGGGCTGCTGCCGTTGCCACTGGTGCTGCGGAACCGCTTTCCGAGCACTGTGAGCACCACGAAGGTCTGAAAGTCTGAGCGCACCTGGGGCATGCATTGCGGTTTTCTTCCACCAACTTGCTTCACAAGGAGGTGCGTGAAATTGCGCGTGGACTCAAGCCCATGTAACATTTCTCCTCTCACAGGACAAGGCACCTCACCGCCCCTTCCAAATGCAAGTTCAACATGCACAAGTGCCGGACCAAATGGAATCGGAGCATGTCATGCTCCTGCTCTTTCCAGCTTGATTTGCATGAATTGATCATCCACTCCGCCGACCCTTGTGCTGGAGTTTGCCATCGAGTGGAAAAACTAAAAGTGGGTGGGCAACTGTGAAATCATCTGGAGGTCTGGAACATCTGCACGGCCCACAAGAACATATTACCAGTATTACCAGGCCTCAACTCTCCTGCTTTCCCCCGCCAGCTCTTGCCTCCCAAACCCCCGGCCTCCGAACCCTGATCTCCAAAGACCTCGATCTGGCCCTCCTCGGGAAGCTCCCGGCGCAGGTCCGGCACGTCAGCGCTCTTCAGGCCGATCTCCAGGCGCAGCCAATGAAGCGCCTCGCCCTTCGCCAAGGCTGCGCCAAGGTGATTCCCATCCGGGGACCCAACCACCTGGCAAGGGAAAACGAGATCTGCTCCAAAGGGAACCTGAGATGCTCCACTCTCAGCAATTCCCAGACACCACTCCGTGCAAACAACTCCCGCCTCCATGTAGGGCTTCTGCGTCTCCGGATCGGTCATCTTTCGCAAGCGCTGGCCCCAGCTGACCCTGGGGCCGTAGAGGGTGAACCACACACCCGAGCAGCTGGACGGAGGAAGGCGGTCCCCCGTGCGGCTCTTGCCCAAGGAACGGTCCGAGTGCATCACCACAGAGCTGATCTGGCCCAGGTTCACAAAGTGCCCCCAGTCAGCATTCTGCCTTGGAAGGCACAAGGAAAAGCGGTAAACGTACATGTCACATAGAGTCAGCACCTATACAACAAACGACAAGCTTGTCCCAGCCCAAGCCACAGCAGGGAGGAGTCCCCAGAAGTTTCGGAGAAGGATAGCATGGTGAAGTTCTCAGAAATGGCGAAGCCCATCTTCTGCAAGTTTACGTTGACCTCCGAGTATGTCGAGGTCTTGCTGGTGAAGATGTCCATGTCCTCATGGAAGGCCTGCCATGGCGTCCTACACCTTACCCAATCTTTAGCGACTCCAGCAAGCGCCGCAGGCGCCTGTAGTTAGCTGACTACATGCACCTTGCTCGCTGCAGGCAGCGAATCTAGAAGGCACAACAAGCGCAGGCTCGACGCTTCGGGCAAAACAAAAAACACCAAGCAGCGGGCACATTTCTCCCCCCCCCCCTCCCACCTCCAAGCCCTTGCCCTTCAAGGTGAGCTCCAGGACTTCCCTGGAAGAGAGCGTGGAGAAGGCTGCCATCATGGAAACGCCCTTCATCATTTGCTGCACCCGAGTGTTCACATTGGTGCCCAGGGCATAGGATCGATCGAAGATGTGGTCCTGCCGGAAGTGACGGAAGAGCAGCTGCACCTGGGGATGCGAAGGCAAGAAGCCCACCATCCCCCATCGGGGTGTCTTACGTCCGACCGAAACGTTCGCAAAGGGCCCATGTCCATCCTTGCCAAAAAGAGAAACCGGCCATTCTGGCAGGGGCTCACATAGCCCTCAAACCACCCCCGCCTTGTTGATGGCTGCGAGCCGCACCATGGCAGGGGATCGAGCCGTCTGGTTGTTGATGCGCTCCATCTTATCCCGCAGGAAGCGAGCAGCCCAGTCCTGCTGCTCTTTGCGGAGCTTGTCCTGCTGGCTCTTCTGAAGGTACACCAGTCGCGCCTGACAGAACCACCCCTTGACCCCAGGCCCCACCTGGTTGATTAGGATGGGTCCAGGGTGGAGTTGGCTGTTTAGGGTTGGTTTTGGATTACCTGCACTTTGCGGGACTGGGAGAAACCTAGCTGCCAAACACACCCCAAAAAACAGCAGCAAAATGGCCCAGGCCCATAGATCTCTCTGGGCAAAGAAACCCTGAATTGGGTGAGGCATGTACCTGAAAAGGAGGGTGGCAACAAAGCAAAGAGAGGCGCGACAAGAGAGTTGCCGAACCCAAGCCTTGTTCCAGGCCCGGCTGAGGTCCAACTTGGTGAGCCTCATCGCCAGGCCCCGGATCAGGCGCCGGGTGTTCTCCAGCTCGTTGAAGTACTTGAACATGGCAGACCAGCCCTTGGCCATGATGGAGCCCGCTACGCGGCCGATGACGTAGGCCATGGCCTCCCGGTCCTGCGCGTTCAGCAAGTACTTGGACATTCGGATGGCCCGCTCCCAGCTCTTCACCTCCGACACGTCCTTGGAGTAGAGAAACACCGGGCCCCAGGACCGCTCCTTCAGCAGGACACGGACACGGGCCTGGTAGTTGGGAAGGAAGGGCTCCGTGATGCCCATCATATCTTTGGTCTCGAACTTACAACTGGCCTCTCGGATGTTGTACAACTTGTGCCTCTCACCAGCGTACTCCGGCCCGTTGCTGCGGTAGACCCTCATGATGCCAGATTGGAGCGTCCAGTATCTGTATTTGTACCAGGCCCACGGGTACTTGCTGGTCTTGGCCAACAAGTGCCTGGTCTGTGAGCGGCCGGTCTTCTTCAGAGCTGTCGCGCCTGCAATCATCCGGTCTGGGATGGCGGCGGAGCCATCTTGCATGGACTTGATCTTGATGCGTGCCAGCTTGTCGCGCTCCTGCATCTCTTCGGGAGACCTGAAAGCTGATCAGGGTGAACCCCATTTAAACTGCGGAGCTATGCTGCGCCTGTAGGGCAGCTTTAGCCATCCCACCAGAAATAGCTAAGCCATTGGCTAAGGTCTTAAGTCAACCCGCCTGTAGAGGCCAGTCTTTTCGTCAATCGCTACCGCCGCAGCCCCGAAGGCGATGTCGTTCACTTCCATCTTGGCAGCTGCTAACAGCATCGTCTGCTTGATCAGGGTGCGGTACAGGTCATTCTTGTTGCCTTCCTTCTTCCCTTTCTGGCCCAGCCAGTTCTTGAAGACCTTCACATCCTTCTTCTCAGCCGGCCCCGCTGCTGGCTTCACGACCTCCGGGTCTCGAGCTTGTCTTAACCCCACAGGCCCGTAGGCTGTTCTGATCATCCCTTGGGACTTTGCCCAAAACGCAATCTACCAGCGCCCTGCCCCTCGCTTAAGCACGACAGGATCTGGCAGTACGCATCTGGTCTTGACACAGATTTCAACTTCACTTGCAATGCTCCATTTCTTTTGGTTGCCCAAGGTGGCCATCTCGATGCTGGCGTGCTCAACATGACTGTCGCCATATGCATTTTTGATCCATGACGAGCGTGCAGAGATCCATGATTTCTGTGGAATGCGCAGGGGTGAAACGAAAGTGTTAAACAGACTTTGGAGTTCGGAGTGCTGAAACATGTCGCGCACTTTGGCGTAGAGTTGGCAAACAAGAATCATCAACGAATGTTTTCGGGTCAAAAAAGCCCCTAGTTGCAGCCACATCTGAAGCGATTCGCTGGACAGCTGTGTTGCTGCAAGGCGCTGTTTTTGCACCTGGGCCATCAGTGCCTGCGCAGCCCTCAGGCTTCGCCATATGGCTGGCACCAAATCTTCAAGCCGAAGGAAAATCCGCCTACAGGAAGCCTGCAAAAGCCTCTTCGCCACCTAGTGATGAATTCGGGCAGCTTGTCGGGAAAAATCTGGTGTGACACCGAGCCCGGACAAGGCTGCTGAAACTGTGTAGCAGCATGACAAGCCGCGGCATGGCAAGCTGGGATGGAAAACATGCCTGTACTCAGGCACGCCCGCCGACCTACCAAGTGGCCATCCATGGGACGCCTCAGAGCTCAGGAACATCAAGATGGCACCTGCAAGACAACCCTGGCAGATTTGTGTGGGCATTCTCCAGAGATATACCAGAACAATTGCAACCCGCAACCAAGTCCACAAACTAAACGAAACAAGTCGAATTCTCACGCCCTTCGGCCTGCGGAAGATCCTTCGTGAGCTGCCCGAGGAACTTGAAGGTCTCCTGGCGCTTGCGCCGGAGAGTCCGTCTTGCAAAACGGAGAGCCCCTGCAGCGCATGGTCCGCATGGTGCTCGAAGCACCGCGTATTGAAAACTCCGAGTCCTGCACAAGAGCATACGGCTCGTCTGCCGAGCGTGGAAAATTCCTCGGCGAGTGCAGCTGCAGCTGTCAAGAAAACGCACGCGACTGAAGCAACAATCTGCCGGTCAGCAACCCACACTCTGCAGCCACAGCTCCGCATGTTGGACGGATCAGTGCCCACCTGGCACAAGATCCAGCCTTCACAAACGCCAGCTTCCGCAGCCGCTCCCCGTGGGGGCTCTCCAACGACAATGGGCATCGTGTCCATACTGCAAGAGACTCCCAAAGGCCGCTTAGTGAAGGTCACTGTTTTCTGCTCTCCTGCAAGCGTGCCATGGGATTTCATGGCCAGGATTCTAGCGTGCCAAGCCTATCAACTTGCACAACTTGGTTCGTCCTGCTGGCGACTGGAACACGATCAGAAGCTTTTTGCCTGCACTTTCAGCCTTCTTGGCCGCCTGGCGTCGCGCAAGAGTGAACCAGGCTGAGCTGAGAAGTGTGGCCTTCTTTTCCTTTTGCGCTGCTTCCTTCTCGCGTTGCAACTGCTCAGCCTTTGCCTGGCGCACGGCAAGGCTGGCACGCGTTCTACACCCGCCCTTGAAGTCAATCTCCGCAGCCAATGAAGCGGAAGAAATAAGTGCCATGCCCACTGCAGGAAGCACAGCGCCTGCAACTCAGCCGCCGTCTTTTCGGCTGCCTCTTTGGCTGCCTCCGCAAGTTTGGAAGTTACAGAATCGCCAGAGCCAACAGCGGCAAGAAGTCTGAAAGCCAGTTTGCTGGGCAGCCTCCCACCCCTCCACCCCCCCACCCCTTCTCAACCCAAAAAACCATCACCCGCCTTCATCTCAGCCAAAGCTTTCTCTGCTGCTGCTTTTCCCTCAATTGCCTTTGCTGTTGCTTCTGAGTCGTTTGCCTGTGCCTTGTCCGCTGCCTTCTCTGCAGTCTTTTTTGCTGCAGCTTTCTCTATTGCGGCCTTCTTGGCTTCAGCCTTGTCCGCCGCCAGCTTCTCAGCCTTGGCCTTTTCTTTTTCTGCCGCTTTGTCCGCTGCTACTTTCTCCTCAGCCGCCTTTTGCTCTGCCTTCTCTGCTGCCTTCGCTGCTGCCTTCGCAGCCTTCTCTGCTGCCGCCTTTTCCGCTGCAGCTTTCTTCTCTGCCTTTGCTTTCTCCGCTTTCTCGGCTGCTATCTTCGCAGCTGCCGCCTTCTCGGCTGCCTTTTCAGCTGCCTTCTGCCTTGCCGTGTCTGCCGCAACCTGCTCGTTCTTGGCTTTATCTTCTGCATCTATCCCCTGCGATGATGCCGTTTGGGATAGCCTGGGTGTTGAGTCTTCAGCATCTGTGCTGTTCCTTCGCTGCGCAGTCAAAGTCTAAAAATATCTACGGCATGTCCGACCCCCGGCCAAGCCCACGTCAAAAATAATAAAATAAAAACATCCATGGCCAACAAGAAAACCGGAGGTCAACAGCCTTTTGGCGACAAAGAAGGCAGGTTGGCCTATCATTCTCGGCTCCAACCCTCTGCCCAGTTGCTCCAGCTTCGCTCCTGGCTGGAATCTGATGGTTAAAGCTGGCACGACTTTCCACCAACCCCCCCCCCCGCCCAGCATGTCGACATGGCAAGTCTAAAGAGGCAGCGAAGCATGCGTCCACGAAATGTGTGAATTTGCAAATGCAAATGCACCTGACCCCCGACCCCCTTCCAGGTTCTCGTACCGAGACAACTCCATGCCCACAGGTGCAAATCAATTTGTAGCCTCTTCCGTGCTCAGAAGTCAACATCCCTTCCAAGCCATCCTCTATGAGCATTACCTTCTAGAAACCAAATCAGGGAGTCCGCTGTGGAAAGTGCCACGAAAGCAAGCAGCTTCTCCGTTTCTCCTTGGGAAGCGCGGCCAGACATCCTCGCCGCAGCCTTCCCAACCGCAGCCTGGCTAAGGATTTGGCCCCACGACCGATCGAGCCACCACATCTTTTGCGGCATAACCAGCATTCTACAAGCTTTGTGCCCAATCGAATGCTACGAGTACAGCAACCCTTTTAATTACCACAGGCACGTTTGCACGCCAACCCTCTTAGATGGCACGTGCCGTGCCTTGGCTTTCGACATCATCCTCTCGGCAGCTACTCTGTCTGCTGCCATGCGTTCGAGCAGCAGCGTATAGGTCGCCTTTACATAGCTGGAGGCTTGCTGATCTGCTTGCTGATCTGCTTGCTGATCCGCTTGCTGATCCGCTTTCTGATCTGCTTCGGCCTGGCCGAACTGAAAGTACTCTAAAATCATGGTGAATGTCTGCTTCACTGGAAGTAACCTTCTCTTCCAAATATTGAAGGCCACAAATGCCCAATCCCAAGTCCGCCTGCGGACTCACACCAGGAACCACCATCGGGCTGAGCTTCTCAGCCTGCCCCAAGTCCAGAAGCGACAAGCCGTTTCTGGGACTCCGGACCAAGACCTTCAAGCCTTTCCGGGAGGGGACTACCTAGCGCTTGTGCGGAAACTCTTTTAAGCAATGGATTGCTTTGGACCATTCGCCGTCCACCGAAGGAAAAAGACCGCCTGCGTCGGTGGATTCGCTGCCAACAGGGTTCTCACCTTCTGGTCCTGGGCAGCCCGCACTTCTTCCTCCGTGCCCAGGCGGCCAATGCAATATCTTGGCCTCGAGTTGCTCAAGTGGCTGCGCTGTCAATGAGATTGCCGGAGCAGATTTGGGCTGGCTACATTGTTTGAAGCTGGCGCGCGGACGGTTGAGCGCAAACTGCCCCAAACCGCCAAGCCAGGCAACAAACTCCGGCGCACTCAATCCCAAGCCAGCCCAAAACCCACCCTTGCCAATCAACACAATGTAGCACATCTGCACAGCCAGCCATCCAGCTACCCAGCCAAACTCAGCCCAACAAACTAACATATCTATCTACCCACCAGCCAGCCAGTTAACCAGCTAAGTAACCAGCTAGTTTCCAAGCTGGTGCTACTAGGCCATGTCAGTGCAAAGAAAAACAGAAAACACTGTTCTTGCAGGACAGCCTCGTTTGCAGATGTCCGATTGATCTACACAAAGTAAGGTGAGCACCGAGAAAAGGTAAAATTGAGACAAGCAGCATGATGCTTAATGGCTTCCTTGGTCAACGTGCACATCCGGGACTAGAAGCAACGTTTTGGCTTGATGGTCCAATGCGAGTCAAGCGTCTTCAGAAGACCATGCGCGTTGTTACCTCGGAATGAGCCAAATGACCACATCTTGTACCATCTGATGCCTCTTCAGAACTGGCCAATCATGCATGAAGCAACCGCTTGACAATGACAACATCAAACTGCAAGCTTGACCACAACTCAATGAACAACCAAGAGACTTGCTTGGGTAGCGTCCGCGCCACCATACTTCAATAGCACCGGTGATCCACCCGGGTGAAATGCATGCCATTTAGTAATGTCATAAACCTGCGCAACCCAGTTCAGGCACACATAGCTGTTCCTGTGGTTTGCTTGCCACAAGCTATGAGTGCAGCACGGCAGCCTTGTTCTCCATAATGACCTTAGCCGCAACACGCTCACCCGCTTTGTTTGCGCCCAGCCAATCCAGAGATGCTGCCAAACCACCCAAAGGTCATCTGCTTTGTCATGCCGTGATATTTCTGCGGCAGTGTAGAGTTCCATCACACTCACGGCATGGCTACCGCACGCCTGTCCGTGTTCCAGCAAATCTGTATGTGGTTTGACAAGAACACAAGTGGGTTTGGGAGCTGTGGCTGGCCGATGGCTTTTGTGCAGGGCTTCTATGGCCGCATGCTCGCGTGCAAAATGTTCGAAAACTGACCAGAGCTTTGAGGAAAAATGTTGTGCTATGTTGGAGCCAACTGCAACGCAAAGGCCATGTATGGTCGAAGCGTTTCTGAAATGTAGCAAGGTACTTCATGCCCGCTTGGGACGTAGCCACCGCGGCCAAGATAGGTAATCATACACCGGCCTGGACGTATTTGTTTGCGCTCGCCTCGCACCCTTTCTTACAATTCTTCCTTGAAAACGGACTGTCAGGGTGGGTCGCTGCAAAGGCAATTGGCCACGAACCACCGTCACTGGCCAGCTGCCAGCCAATCCTTCAGGCCCACCACAAACCAAAAGAATATCCTCCCGCAGTAAATCCAATTGAGAGGCCGCAGCACACCGCGCTGATCTTGCCTCGTTTATTGTTTTCCCCCCCCGCCAGCCTCCGAATGTGAAAGCAACCCACCCCCCCTGCCCCCCCCCTCATCTCTTCTTTCTCTGCGCGGTTTTCCACGTGCTGTTTTTGTGGCGGCCAGCACCCTCCCTTCCAAGGCCCTTCCGGGCAGGCAGGTGGGACACATGCGGATAACCTGGATGCGCGCCAGCAAGTCACCGGGCCCATCCAAGGCCAGGCGACGGTCAGACTCTCAGCAAAGCTTTGGCTCTGGAAGCGGCCATGGCGAGCAAGCCAGCCGGTTTTTCTTTTTCACGCGCCTTTTTCCAACTGCAAAGCGAAAGCAACTACTGGGTGAAACGTGAAGAGGCGCCGAGGCTCACGTGGGTAGGCGGCTCGGCGCCGGCTCGCATTCCCACTGTGCGTCAGCGAGCAGGTCGCTCACTGGCGGCTCTGCGACCGCCTCCCCGAACAGCGGGAGCTGCAGCAGGCTGGCGGCAAGCGCTCGCTGTGCGGCGACTGCAAAGAGGGCAGTCCACCGCCGCACAGCAGCTCCACACAGCAGCTCCGGAGGAGCTCGGAGTAAGTGTGGTGGCGCTTGCGGCAACAAATCTGGCGGGCTAGGCCGGGCTCGTGGTCGGCCCCTGGACGCGGGTTGACAAGGGTTGGTATCCACAGCAACCTTCACGCCGCCCCATTTGGGCAGGGCGTTGGCCACAACTTCCAGGCGGCTGTCGTCCAGCACAGGCGCTGAGGTCACGTAGGAGCACGTTCTCGGCTACGCGGGCCCCAGCTTCGCGGCAGATCCTGGCAGCTGTGCGCTCAAGAGGCACGCTGCGGGGCCCCAACACGCCAGCGCGGGCGCAGGCTGCGCAGTGATCCCCAAGTGCGTCCAACGCGCCCCGACATGAGCCCACCCTTACTGAAGGGAAGAGGCACGTGAAGGCGGCGAAGGGCCACAACTCCGGAAGTGAGGGTCTGGGACGTTGCTCGGGTGTGGGGAGGACAGTGAAGAAGCCCCCAACATGGTCGCCTGCGTCGGAAAGGAGCAGCGCGCGAGAGGCGGCATCAAGGTCAGCAAAAAAACCTGCCTCATCAGCGGCGTGGCGTAGCAGCTCATCCCACGCGGGGGGCTGGAAACCATCGGCCCGGAGCGCATCCGCGGCCTCAGCCGCGGCGCATGCTGTCCGCCCGCAGCGAGCAAAAACTGCCAAATTGCCGACCAGGTGTCGCTGAGTGTCAGCCCAAGATGCCGAGTAGGCAGCAGAACGCCCGCGCTCGGCAGACCGCAAGCCCATCCCACGCCGGGCTAGCGGGAGCTGGGCCTGTCTACGCTGCAAGTTGTCAAGTTCGAGGGGCTCTTCTGTGCTCAAGAGCTGCCCCAGGCAGCGCAGCACCGCCATATCATGCTCACGGGCGAAGGCAAGGGTTTGGCAAGGGGGTAAGATGCGCAGCAAGTAGTTGGCACGGGGAACCTCAACAGCGTCCGCTTGGTGTCCCATTTGCGGAGCGCACGGCGGGGAGCAGCCCCTGGCCCGTCCGGCGCCACCGCTGAACACTACCGAATCTTGATGGATGACGCAGGAAGCACTTCCCTCTTGGCGCGCACCGCACAAGACCTAGCAAGCGCCAATGTCCCTCCTGTCATCCTTGAGGGTCTGCGCTTGGGCCGCACGGTCGCCTTGCAGAAGCCAAATGGGTGGGTGATGTGTTGCGCCGGCTGGTCAGCCGAACCGACCACGTGTCCCGGCAAGTATGTTCGCCCAGCTTGCGTCGCACGAGCACCTCACTCCGCTATTGCCGTATGTGCGGCATTTTTATGGCCGGGCCTCACAGTACCTGCAGGGGGACCCGCAATCTTTGACATCCTGCAGGCGAACCTGCAGGCGCATGCCGGAATCCAGGTCAGCTTGGAGAAGTCGCGCTTGGAACGCCGGTGGTGTGCAGCCACCCAACACACAAGAATTGGTGGTCCTCGGGTCCCCTCTTGGCAGCCACACGTTCACACAGGCAGTCCTAGCCGAGAAGCGCACGGCCCAAGACGCGCTGCTGCAGCATAGCCCTGCCGTGCCGCACTTACAGTCGGCGTGGCTGATTCTGCTGCTGCGCGGCGGGCTTGGCGGCTGGAAGGCCTGAGCCTGTATGCCTCGCCGCGCGGCAGCCAGCATTGGCAGGAGGGATACCAGACGCACTGCAGGCAGCGTCTTGGAGGAGGGCCACCACCCCGGAGCCAAGCGATGCCTTCCCCAGGCTGCCAGTGCAGCAGCATGAGTGGCGCCAGCAGCAGCAGCTTCCGCCCGCGCTCCGCGTCGAGCGGCGCCCAGCATTGGAGATGGCAACGAGGCGAAAGGTTGCTCGGAGCGAGCCACGGGCAACTGCAGGCACCGCCTGGAGCGTGAACACACGCTGCTGCAGTTGCTGACGCAATCTACTGCGTCCAGCCTGTGTAGGTGTTGGCGCAGGAACATCCGCCGGTCAGGTGGCGGTGCAACAGGCGCCGGGCCGGGCGGACCCAGGCTCGGCACGGAAGTGGGCGGCCAACCGATCAATCTGCCCCGCACCGCGCAAGCCGAGGATTTCAACCAGCAGCGCCTCCTGTGCGGCAGCTGGCATGTAGAAGCCCTGCCCGGCATCCAAACAGTCGACAGCGGTGGCAAGAGGGATGTTCCCCCGATGGCGCGCTGCGTGTGCAAGGAGGCGATCCTGCGCGGGCGTTCTGCTGAGGTGAACGGCCGGTCGGCCGCTGGCCCAACGATCGCGTTGGACAGCGAGTGCGGGCCAACGGGCGGACGCTAGCGACAGGCAAGCACCGCATCACGCCAGGTCCCGGCGGCTGGGGCCAGCGAAAAGGGCGCATAGATGCGCGAGTTGGTCTTCGGGCTGCGGCGGCACTCATGGCGACGTCGCTCGACCCTTCCAGCATTTCAACCGCAGTCTCCGAGGGGGTGACGGGCGTGGCGGACACCAAAGGCACGGTGGGTGCGCACGGTGCACTCGAAGTACCGGGGGGCCCTGGAAAGCTGTCGTCGCGGCGTTGCGCTGAGACACGGTGTGTTGCAAGCGAACTTTTTTCCCCAGCGCGGCCCAATGCAAAGGCTCTGCGAGCCAGCAGGCAAAGCCCTTCACAATGCGTTTGCAGGGATTCAACTAGACCCCAGTGCTCCCGAAAGCGTTTTACCACCGCGGGCCCTGTATTTTCTTTGGTGCGCCGCGGTCTTTACAGCGCGCCGCGCCAGGTGCAAGATCAGCAGCTTGCGCAAGAAGCCAGTCGAAGCACCCGAGCTCGTTTCTACCATCCAGAGCCGTGGCTTCACTTGCGCTACCCTTGCATGAAACGAGCTGCTGCAAGGCTGCATGTTTCACTCACACAGCAAGGCAGAGCTCGATACAACCCATGCAATGTATAACGATGGCTTCACTCTGTAAAAGGTGTCAATGAACAAGAATTCCTGCAGAGAACCGCAACGCGTTGCTACAAAGATGGCTTACCCTGGAGCAATTGCGTGGTTTCATTCTACGCAGGCTTTATGCTACTGCTAATGCTCACGCCTGTATGCTTTCGACCCATGCCTTGGCCTATGCTCACGCATATATGCTCACGCACGCACACGCACACGCACACGCACACGCACACGCACACGCACACACACACACACACACACACACACACACACACACACACACACACACACACACACACACACACACACACACACACACACACACACACGCATATATGCTCACACACACACACACACGCAAACGCGCAAACACACAAACACACAAACACACAAACACAAACACACACACACACACACAAACAAACAAACAAACAAACAAACAAACAAACAAACAAACAAACAAACGAACACACAAACACACAAACACGCAAACACACAAACACACAAACACACAAACACACAAACAAACAAACACACAAACACACCAAAAAAACTCCAAACAAGCCAGGCATTGCTAAAAAGAAGATCAGAAGAAAGCCATGCAATGTAATGCGTATATTATAAAAGTTCTGGTTTTCTGGAGATATGACCCTATTTCCTGATGAATATATTTCTATTCTTACAAGGACTGATATATTTATGTACCGGAGATTGCATAAATGAATCCAGATAATAAATGATAGATTCCTAAGCCTTTATGATTACAATTGTAAATTACATTTTTTAATTAGTGAATGAAATAATTTAACAAAAATACAACATATAAATTATATAAGTCTAGAACGACTGGCGTGCTTTTCTGTTGGTCGCCTTTCTGTTTGGAGTTTTATTATATTTGGTTGTGTGTATTATTTATTGTTCATTCTATTTTATTTTTGATGTCATCTTCAACCGACAGGAGTTAACACCAGTGGAACGAGGAGGAGGTGTCCAAGAGACACAGATAAAGGAAAAGATAAGGAAAGGAGTGGGCAAGAGGATTAGCAAAGGAAAATATCCTCCTCTTTCCATCTCATTCCTGTTCCTTTCATTACAAGTATTATAGTCTTAGAAAAAGACATTTGTCTATTTCTTTCTCCTTTTCATTTGTAACAAACAAA